AAAAGCCTAGGTAGGCAATGGATGCGGACATAAATACTAAATAAAATATCAAACTATGTCCGCTAGCTTTACCTTTTAGCATATGTAGTGATCATTTATTCAGTATAATTCAATTACCACCATAATGCACAAAATAATGACATGCTATACCCTACAGCAACCAATTAAAGTAGAACTCCCACTCAAGTGCTTTTTTTCTTCTTTGGTGGAGTGAGTTATGGTTGGAAACGTTTTTATTTCCATCTGTACCCATGATGGGGGAACTTCCCCTCACTTCCTGACCCAATGATGGTGGTGTTTGAGCAGGGGCTGACTGGCAACTTTTAGCCCAGGGGGCAAGTACAACCTAGAGGCCCATGGTGCAGCAACTTGGCCTCCCTCCCGCTCTGCAGAGACAGAAGACCTCTCCAATGGGTACATGTACTACAAATTAGGGCTGCAACCAACTAATCGATTAATCAATAATAATCGATTATGAGAATAGTTGTCAACTATTCTCATTATCGATTAGTTGGTTGGATCCCCTAGCTCTCTCCTCCATGCTGGGAGGAGGGCACATCAAATAGCGGGTGAGTGCAATAGCCAGCCTGCTATTGGCTATTGCAATTTGAAATGGCCGATAGCAGGCTGGCTATTGCACCAGCCCACTACCTGCTGTATTTACATTCAGCTGCCATCTGCGAAATCTTCCCACTGGCAGCTGTCATTCCCTGGCTGAAGCATTCAAGCACCATGTGCTTACAATACAATTATTTCATTTCAATGGCATTGCAAGTTTTATTCTGAAGTAAACTTTATACTTGTAACACTGCATTTGTGTATTTTATTTGACATTAAGGATGGTATTTGTTTAATATTTTTAGCCGATTAATCAAAAAAATAATCGGCCAACTAATCGATTATGAAAATAATCATTAGTTGCAACTCTACTACAAATACTTAGGGGCATATTTCTAAATCAGTGAATCTTACTTTCACCAAACATTTACAGGTAGTGAATAAATCAGTCATCTAAAACAGATGTACCTGCAGATCCACCTGCAGTGAATGTTTGATGACTGTCAGGTTTTTTTAATGAAGCGTGGAGGAGTAAGAGCTTTAAATGGATTTTATTGTAGTGTTTCCACTTAGGAATTTCCCCTAACTTTCTGTGCTAGTAACAGTGATTACCAAGACAGAAAATGAGGGTAAAATCCCACTAAACAAAATTTTTTTTACCTGTATTTAAAAATGTATGTGAAGGTTCTCATTCATCCAGGTCATGATATATCTGTAAAAAATAAGTCAAGGCAACTGGACTTGCTTTATTTTTCTTGAAGACGAAACGTCTTCAAGAAAAACACAGCAAGTCACGTTTCCTTGTCATCCAACCAGCGTTCTCAATTCAGAATGATTTGTACAAAAATTATCTGGGAATAAATATGGTGAATGTTGCTCCAATCCACATAATCTGTCGCAACCAGGTGTTGATTGCATTTGCATATTTGGAGTTAAACTTAGCAATACACTGAGGCAACAACTGGTTCACCCAAAAGACCCAACGCCAAAACACAAGATGAACAACATTGTGTATGCAATCCAGTGCAGTGAGGAGTGCTCAGAATTGTATGTCTGTGATACAAAACAGCAGCTGCACCAGCCTATGGCACAGCATAGAAGGGCCAAACCCTCTGGTCAGCATTCAGCAGGGTACCTACACCTAAAGGAAAAAGGTCACTCCTTTGAAGACAGTCAAGTACGCATCCTAAACAGGGAGTAGGATTGGTTTACAAGAGGTGTGAAAGAGGCCATTTATGTAAAAATTGAGAAACCAAGCTTGAATAGAGGTGGGAAAATGCAATCAACACCTGGATTGGAGCAACATTCACCATATTTATCCCCAGAGAAATTTTGTACAAATAATTCTGAATTGAGAAAGCTGGTTGGATGACCAGTGAAAAGTCTTCAAGAAAAATACAGCAAGTCCTGTTGCCTTGACTTTTTTTTTCCAGCTATACTGTATTTAAAAAATGACATCTTTATTGATAGATCTTAATTCCAATAACACAGATAAGCCCCACCTTTCAGACAAACGCCTATAACATGTTTCACCACACAGGCTTAATCTGATTACTCTAATTAATATGAAAATGCCTGTATGGTGAAACATGTTATAGGTGTGTGGCTGCATGACGGGACTCATCTGTGTTATTGGAATGAAGGTCTATCAATAAAGATGCCGGGCGGCGGTACCTGTTTGTGTGCTAATTTTCCTGTTGTTAACGAGTTAGAGAAAAAGCAAGCTCTTTTACCTGCACCCGTGTGGCTCTCATGTAGCTGGAACTCTGAATGAAAATTGGATCAGTGATATTTTTTATTTTAAACAGTAATGTCCCACTGTCTGATGTTCTAACTTGTCTCCAACAAGTTTTGTCTGGATTTGATGTTTTCTGCTTCTAGGTGTATAATAGGGCTGCGCTCATATAAGCTCATTTGGCAGTTGCTTTTGATTATTTCTTGTGTTTTCTGGATTATATTACATGCTGTTGTTTTATGACTACATTAGCCCAACACATGTTAGTGTTAGGTGCAGCCTGGCACAGTTCAATTACTTCCTGACTTGTCAGAGGACAACAGGGTAGATAATTATTGTCTGCCCTACAAGATCTCAGCTCCACCTCTGGTGTCCTTCACATACATGTCCAGCTGTAGTGGCCCATTTTTGATATCAGTTTTTGTAAAGAATCTAGCAGGGAACAAAGATTGCAGATAACATGACCACTTAAAGCTAATTTCCAGGCAGATGTAAAAGGCACAAATAACGCAGCTCTGTAATCATTAATACTGTACATGATTAAATGCATTTTTCAACAGTCTGATCTGATCACCAGGGGAGAAGACTGAGGAAATAGTTCCTCTTGCCAGCATCAGACTGGTCACATCACCCTAGCTTAGGTAGAATCAAAGTACTGGAGCTTAACAGGGCCATCCCTTTCATGAGGCAGCCTGAGGCTGTTGTCTCAGGTGACATCTCTTTGGGTCACGTGGCCGGCGGCAGGCAGAGTGGCATGGCTGCTCTGCTGCACTTTCTGGCCAGAATGGCCCAGGTCCCCAATAGCTGGGCGGGGAAATTGGTAAAGGCCATACACATTTCCCTAGCCAGCATTTAGCAACATGGGACACTCTGGCCGGGATCCTACCCAGCTCCTGGCAACCCGTGATGCCGGTTGTCTCGGGCTCCGCTGTCCCCCATGCAGGACCGGGACCGGCACAGCAGCTGCTCACAATGTAAACGGAGGAGAGATTATCATTCTCCTACTTTCAGATCTCTCCTCCGATCTCTGATGTTGGAAGTACTGCGTATTAAATCACTCCCACCTTTACCTGTCATTTCTCTGGCTGCTATAGTCAGAGCAGAAGCTGGTGAAGCAGATCTCTGCATCATCAGCTTCTTTGGGGGTCCCTAGGTGACATTAGGGGTCTTAGGGACTCCTAATGTCTCCATAAAGAGGACCTGTCATTGTATATTTGCCATCACATAGGGGGCTTCTTAACCCCTTCTTAGTGATAGGGGGCTATCACTTAGCAATAAAGTTAAGTGCTAAAAAAAAAGTTACAAAAATGAAAGTCACATATAAAAAATGTAAAAAATACACACAAAAAATGTCCCCTGCCCCCCGTGTGCATGTACATATCAATGTAAATACACGTCGGGTGCGCCTACGTACGAAAACAACAATTATTCTAGGGCCATTCATCGCTAATAACACTAAACCGATGAGCAGTAAAAGCTTTCAAATTGTTGCCTATGGCCAATTTTAGGTATGGTAGTTTTTTTCCAATTTTGAAGGCACACAATTTTAAAGCTTGAAATGTTTGGTGTCTATTTACCCAACCTAAGTGTATGTATAAAGTCACTCGCACTCCAATAGAATTTCAAGTCAAAAACGGTTTATTGACTCGATTGCTATCACTTCATATGACTCGATTGCTATCACAGCTATATGATGTGATAGTAATCGAGTCAATAAACCGTTTTTGACTTGAAATTATATTGGAGTGCGAGTGACTTTATACATACACTTATCTTGGATTGCAGAGGCATCTGCAGTCACTTTGGCACCCACCCGACTCTAATGGTATTATTCGGTCAGGAGTGCGATGGGTACACTGTATTTTGGTATTTACCCAACCTGACCCCATCTTTTATATTTTACCAAACTTTGGGGTGGGGGTAATGAAGTAATGAATGTTTGATAACATAATGAAGTGAAACTTTTTTTTTTCAACTTTTCGTTACTTTTTTAATTATATAGTAAAAAATAAAACCCCCCAGTGGTGATTAAATACCACCAAAAGAACACTTGATCTGTCCCCAAAAAATGATGTAAAATTCATTTTAGTACAGCGTTGTATGACTGAAAAAATATCAAAGTGCCTCAGTGCTGAATACTGAAAAATGGCCTGGATACGCAGGGTCGTTTAACACTCCAGTCTTCAAGTGGTTAAAGTTACTGAAAGGTTCCCTTTAAATGAGCTGGATCACATGCTACATTCCTGTATTTTAATCATGCAAATTAACAGTGCAAAAAAGTTAACAAATACATACATTTATTGTTACGGTTAATCTTTACACAATGTTGTCGCAATATACTAGTAACATTTTATACAATTGTGCAGAAACATGTTTTACATAGACATCCAATATTGTGTCTACTGATGACTGAAATGTATTGGCCATGTTGTATGTAAATCATCAACACCTATATGGCTCTGAATAAACAGATATATGCCCGCAGACTATAGACGTAAACAAGGAGTTCGTCAGATTTAATCATCTGACATTTTAGAATGGATTCCCAGACATCAGAGTGCGTACTTAGTGGGCAAGCCCCGTCACCTTGTTTTTCATTTAAATAGCAGGTTTCCTTATGGAGACATCCTGAAATCCTGGCATGCTGTACTTGATGACTGTTTTCAGCAGTGCATTATTTGGGGTTTTGCAGGTAATATGCCGTCATTCTTTTTCTAGGCCGCTGCCAGATCCCTGTATACTTGTCCACACAAAATCCAAAGCCGCTAGGGTTTTATGGTGGAGTTTGCCCAGGTAGGGAAAGTGTCAAGGTTGAACATGTAATATCCCCAGCTGTTAATGGACAATGTAATAACAAGCACGCCTAAAATATTCAGCAGAAATCCGGCTTTTGCCTATAGCAAGAAAAAGAAAAGAAAAAAAGTTAGTTTGAATTGACATGTTTGTGTGCTGCAAATATACCCTTACTTAAAAACCTGAGATCCTAAGTCAGTGGTAGGCAACTTCGCCACTCCAGCTGTGGTGAAACTACAACATTCCAATAGACCTCTGCCTCTGGGAATCATGTCTGTGGCTGTCAGAGCTTTGCAATTCCCTTATGGGACTTGCAGTTCCACAACAGCTGGAGTGCCAAGGTTCCCTACCCCTGCCCTAAGGTAAATGAAAATCGACAACATTTCAAATGGTATTTATTCTCCAGCTTGGTCTATTATGTTTTCAGAGCCTTTTAAAGTATATCGGCCGAACGCCGATTTTTTGGGGACGTTCGCGGTCTGTTCGACCACGGAACGTCCCACATCACAATGCGCCCTCTGAAGCTCTAATTGGTTCAAGGCAAAAGGTTAAACTTTTTGCTGTTGTACTGTATAAAGCCCTTCCATGTGCACCTTGCTGTAAAGCTGGTGATGAATTGATGAGTGCGTTTGCCATTTGTTTTGCTTGACTGATTTGGTGCAGTGACGCATGGGGGGTCTCAGCTGCCGTTGTGATGTGCGTGGTCCCTTGTGCGTCCCTGTGCCTTTAAGGAGGATGGGCTTCCTCCTGACAAACCTGCACCCAATTTTATCTTTTGCCACTTGTGCTCCAAGATGGAGATTCTCATAGTTTAGAGTTAGGACCACACTATATAAAGGTGCCTTGGCGCGGCTGTGCGGCTTTCACATTTTCTGCAGAAGACGTGTATCTAAACCTCTGTTTTTAACCTTAGTGGTGAGACACGTTTTTTTGCATGCTGTCTGGTGAGTGTGCTGGGAAACGTTTTGCTGTTGTACCTATTCCCAGTAGCGTCACAAGGGGGGCGCGGGGGGTGACACCCAGCCTCGGGACGCCCCTGCCTATTGCAGTGACAACTATCTAAAAGGGAATTCCCCTCACTTTTGAGAAATCTAATTTCATGTTGTCTCCCTGGAATCATGGGAAATCTCCCCAACAGGACAGCACAAACAAACCTCAGAGGCTCTAACAATTTTCTGCTTCACCCAAAAATGAAAAAATAATAAAACAACTTTTAACTAGAGATACAATTTAGGTATGCTGCCATTTTTATTTCAGGAAAACTGTAAAACTGTATACCTATTTTTGATAATGTTGTTTTCCTGCCACATAAGCATGGCAGAATAGGTGTCCTACACTTGCTTTTTGCTCATATTGTGATTAGAATGTGGACACCTTTGGGTTGTGGCTTAAACTTACAGGGTAATTGATCCTACTGTAGATGAGGAAAGAGGAGGCGGTGCCACCATGCTTATGTGCCAAGAAAGGAAAATTGCTGAAAGGTAAGTTTTTAGTGCCAGCAGGCACTTTCTATCCACACATCTCCTTTGTTCAATGGGTCAGTCTCATTGCAAACTGTCCCCTATAATAGCACCTCTGTGATGAGGCAGTGCACATTAAAAAACAAATACTGAAAAAAATACATGATCACTATTCACAAGTTTTAGATCAGGATGACAAAAAAATAAAGTAGTTGCTGGAGCATTCTTCCTGTAAAGAAAACATTACAGCACTTCCCTCTAACATTGGGTAACAAAAGAGGTTTCTGGAAGATGGATGTTTTTTTATACAGCCACAGAGTTTTTTTAGGAATGCATGCATGCACAATTTTTCCCCAGCTATTTTAAAGGGATTGCATAAAAAAAAAAGAAACATTTCATTCTGCATTGTTCTGCATGTTAGTGATACATACCATATCCACAACCCTAAGCTGCCCATAAGCAAAGGCTATAGCATTTGGGGGTGTGGCCACCGGTAGCATGAAGGCTAATGAGGCGGAGAGTGTGCATGGAAGCATTATGTATAATGGATTCAGTTCTATTGCTTTTGCCTAAAAAAAAACAAAAAAAAAACAGAAAATGAAGAATGAAGAGTAGTAGAACACAGAGTTCAGTTTATATCAGTTTACAGGCATGTTCATTGGTTAACTTATGTTCTGGCACCATGTCTATTTTAGCTTCCCGAATTTCCCAATAAAATGGCTTTCAAATGCATACAGATGTGCATATGGTAAGCATAGTTTCTAACAGTAATTGTTGAGAATCATGGTTTATTAGATCAATACCTGTGCATATTCAGTTTGCTATGGCCTTTGCTTTGTGCTTTGCTAATGTTAAAGTGTATACAAATGCTTTTATTTTTTTTAGGGATCTAATGGGGAATGTTCAGAGATCTTGTCAGGTTTTTTTCCATCTATGTGTCCTACTGGGGAGATTTCCCTTCTCTCCCTGTCCCAGAGACACAACAGGAATTGGAGGAAATCTTTCCAAAGTGGAAGGAAATCCCCTTTTAGACAGCTATCACTGGAAGAGGTGACCCAACATCAGATTTCCCCCAACCTCCTGTTCTGGTGAAAACTGTAAGATTTGAGAATTCCCTTAATTTTCTGTGCTGGTAAGAATATGATGAAATAGTCAAGGCGAGTTTTCCCAGCACTGCCACAGGCAGTAAACACCTTAACCCCTCACCACTCTACCCAAGAATAAACAAAATGATTTTGAATATACTTAAGATCTCCCACTTTCAGAGCACTGCAAAAATAAATTTCCAGTCATTGAAGAGAATCTATTTTCTGTCCATGTTAAACGGCATTAAAGGTATATATTTATGCAAGACCGTCACAAAGCTTGGACAAAGCTGATGTAAAGCTAATAAACATCAGGTATGATAAAGATTAAAAAACAAGATAATGACACAATCCTCAAGCTGTACTTTGGACATCTGCATTGGAAAGGCTTTTACTGCTTTATGTTTTTAAAGATCAACTTGTTTTTTATGTTCTGTACACATGGGCAAAAAAGTAGTGTCTTACGACACTGTTGACTGTGACTATGGCTGCATTTATTAGGCTAGTACCTGGGACAGCAGGATTAGGGGCCTCAAAATTTACAAATTGTAGCAACTATTTTCCTTTTTGTTTCTCTCATCTTTTCACCTTTGGAAACGTATGTCAAAATTCAGCAAGTGCACTGTAGGGAGTGTGCAGGGGGTGTGGAGGGGGTGACATCTACCTGTTTGGCACCAAGAGTTAACTTTCAGTTTATGTAAATGATAATGGACGCATCATAAATTCGAATAAACAATCCCACATATTTTAATGTAATTCATTGCTGACTATAAAGTAACCTGTGCCAGAACTCAGAAGACACTTTCTGTCAAATCTGCAATGTTAACCTGTGCAGCAGTAAATAGTTGAATGCAAACAAAAAGTGTTGAACTATTATAAAAAAAAAAATACAAGCTCCTGTGATACTAAACGTTCATCCAGCAAATGATACAGAAAACTAGTGTATGTTTTGTTTGTGCATACATGTATTTTTATTATAACTCTACTCTAGGTAAGTTAAAGGTTAAGACTGGTGGCATTATATTATACTACCAAGATATCTGTCTACATACCTCCTTAGAATGTGTGCAATTTACTGAGATAAAGGAGAAAATAGCTATGGGATTTTGAGTGTTTACATATCATTGTATTCCACTCTTTGTTAACAACCAATATGATCTACATAATCCTCACAATAATTACTTTCTGTCTGCTCTATGTGTGCTACCTCATAGAAGCACTTGATTAATACTTTGGATTAAGGTCAATTAAGAAGGTGTTATGTGAACGTACAGTATGTCCTTTAAATTTCATTTTAGATATACATATCCATCTAAAACAGGTCAGCTTAATGTAAATGGATATGTGAATTTAATGCGCCATATCAATGGATAGCTTGTAATTATATATGTAAATAGGGCAGCTATTCCTTCGTTATCACATATACCGGTCTTGCTTTGGCTCTGCTGCCCTCTGGAAATAATACAAGTTGCTTAACATCTTATCTCATTAGCTGAAGTGAGCTTGCCATCCATTCTAAAATGAAAAACCTAAAACTGTGAGTGCTCCCTAAGTACAGGTACAAAAAGTTGCTATTAGTATGTCTCTCAAAAAAAAAACTCCCATGGCTCCCCTTTGAGAATACTTTTACATGGCTATCGCTATATTTTACATTCCACCTACTTGAATAGTGAAGCCCTGGTCACCCAAGCCAGGACACTATCAGCATGGAGTTTGCATGTTCTCTGTGCTTGTGTGGGTTTCCTTTGGGTACTCTTTTTTCCTTCCACACTCCACAGACATGCTATCTGGGTAATTGGCTCCTGTCTAAATTGGCCCTATTATGTTTTTTTTTGTGTATGTGAGATAGGCACCTTAAACTGTAAGCTCAGGACAGGAACTGATGTGAATGTACAATTCATATAATACGTACAATACATTACTATGAAAAACATACATACAATACATTACTATGAAAGCAAATAAAAGGAAACCATGTGCCTCAAAAGATGGAACATATGTTGGTCATGTGATATTTGACTTTGTTTCTTACCATGGATGCCAGAATGGGTAGGAACAGTGTAGTTGTTGCTACATTGCTGGTACATTCGGTGAACGTAGCAACCAGCAGACACAGAACTAGAGCGATCGCAGCCGGGGGAATACTCTGCAATGGAGTGAGCTTGTCTCCAAGCCAAGTGGACAACCCTGAATCCTAGATGAGGAGAAAAATTGTCTATTCATTCTTTTTTTCAACATATTAACATTTTTAAAAGCAAGAGAGTAGGTATATGTGCAGTTTTATTTTACCATAAGAGTTGCCCCTCTATAACCATTTCACAAGCATTGTACATGTGTTTTACATAGCTCAGCGAAACTGGCCCCCCTACAATCGGCACAAATAAAAAGTCCAGTACATTTCTTTAATGCTACGTTTGTGCCGTAAAAATTAACTTTTGTGTTGCTTTAATTTGTAACATAATAGCAATTGTTTTTTTCAATTTCAAAACATTTTATTGGTTTTACATAGCGTATCTGAGATAACAACATTTCGAATGAAGCAGTTACAAACACCATACAGACAGAGTCCAGACATGTCGTAGTGAGTGCAGACTGTGATAAACAAAGTGCCTCCTCGCAGGGAAGCCAGGCATTCATTCAAAGCATATAATTAAGTCATCTCAAGGAGCCATTGCTCCAATTTCGGACCAGGACCACGAGGGGACCCGTCTGGGTTACCGCCCTCGTGTTCCAGAGCCGAAAGCATAGCAATTGTTTTTTTAAGATGATGACATCACCCAGCCCCCCTACAACAGGTTTGTGCTGCTAAAATTTTTATTTTTGGTTCAGCGGACGAATGCCGGGCTCTCCAGGGCTCTGTGGATGGCTGCTGGGCCCTTCAGGGCTCTGTGGGTAGGTTCCGGATTCCCCAGGGCTCTGCAGGTGGGTGTCAGGCTCTCCAGGGCTGAACAGGTGGGTGCCGAGGTCATGCTGGGCTCCAGGGCTGTACTGGTGGGTGAGGGGCTGTGCCGTGTCTCGGGAAGGAGGAGGAGAAGATGTGGGACCAGATCGGCGCTGTCAAAGACAGCTGACGCGAGGTTCCCAACAGGCTGCCTGAGGTCCCCAGCCAGCCGCTCTTGTTTAAATATTTAAAGGACCGGTATCAGCCTTTAGCATCAGGGCATTTTCAGGAAAATGCCCTGTATCGGCCCTGGTACCGATACTAGTATCAGTATCGGGACATCACTAATATTTTGAATTTGTATTTAGACATATTTAATATGTAGAACCCACCCAATAAACTGTCTAAGTATTAGTTTGGCATAGTGGCTCTCTATTCCAAAGTTATTTTGTGTGTGATACAGTAACACATTTTATTAGGTATGAGGTAAACTTACATTTTAAAACAAAAATATGTCTTACCTCACTGCCCTTAGCTAGAGCAAATCCTCCTCCCAGCAGGATGACGATATTCCAGGGCATCTTCTCGTTTACAGTTTTCCAGTCCAACAGAGGTGGTGGCACATAGATTTTTATTCTTTTTCCTAGACATAAATGAAACAGCAGAAAAGATGGTGAGAAGTGTTGCAAAGACATTTATTAAAATGTATCTGTAGTGTTCTTACTACCAGCTAGGAACTAAATCAGTATGATGGTCTGTAGTAGTCAAAGCAAAACTCCAAGAAAATAGCTGAAGATGTATGTTAAGACGGCCTTGTCATGTCAACAAAAAATACAGATGAAAGGTCTTTACAATAAAAAAGATATTATATTCGCCTCTCCAGTGGTCCATGTTTCCCACCTTCCCTCCATTCCATTCCTACAGCCTCTGGCAACACCGTCAGCATTCTACACTTCCAGGAGGGTTGGGTGGCTGTGTTCCCCACCGCGCTGTGGTTCTATCTTCTGATACTTACATCAATACAGGGCAAAACAGTGAGGTAGGCGTCAGAGGATGCTGCTTTAGACCCTGGTGTTGACAATTTATTTCCAAACACGGTGTACTAAATAATTAACTTTTTAGGAGAAAATTAGAAGCCTGATTTTAAAAAATACCTTGCCATTCGTAGGAACTAAAGGGTTTTGTAAAGCCATTGGAGCAACACTGAACAAGTAATGAATGTTCTACTCACTGAATATTAGAAGATATGAGGTTTATTTTAAAAATACCCCACTAGAAGAAAATAGTAATTAAAATTCATAAAAATTTTATTTGCAATAAAATATAAATTAAAGGAGTGAAATGCACGCATCCCAGTAGTAGGAGCCGATGTTTGATACTGCAGCTGTCACACAACAGCTCTATAGATTGAGAACTGAGAGATCACATACTGCTGATCGCTCAGTTTATGATGTTCTCCCTGTAGAGAGCAGTGACTGTCATATAGCACTGCTATATGCTGAGTTTTGGGTTACAGGAGGGAGGGCATTTACTAATGTCGTCCTGTGACCCTAAAAAGAAGTATGGCTAAAAAAGCTTTTGTCTCAATAAAGCCCAATTTGAAGTTTAATTCAAGGTTTTGCCTTTGTGGGGTTATAAAAGCTGTTATATGATTTGGCAAATACTGCTACAGTCTGTCCTCAAATGCCAAAACTGTATCACTACAGACCTTCATGTTTTGATTGGTTAATTTAATTACATTTCGTTTTCACTATCATCCATTTATTAGAGCAGGCATGTTGAACTGGTAAATAGCAGGCAGCATGCGGTCTACTTTTTTTTGGCCCTCGTCTTTTTTGCCTTAGCAACTCTTGGGGGTCTATTTATAAACTATTCATAGGGCCCTTCCCTTGTATTTATATTTGCGAACATTCAGACTGTGCCAGAATTAACATTCATTCATTCTCCAAGGCAAGGAGGGAAATTTATCTAAACCGGAGCAGAGAAAAACTGGAGCAGCTGTGCATGACAACCAATCAGCTTCTCTCTCAGTTTGTTCAGTTAAGATTTAAAAATTAAAAAGAGAAGCTGATTGATTGCCATGCACAGCTGCTCCAGTTTTTCTTTGCTCCTGTTTTAATAGATTCCCTTCAATGTATTTTCAAATGTTTCCCCCCCATGTAATACCCTATTATGATCACTAGATGGTGTCGAGCAGCATAGAAAATAAATACTTATTCGCTATGCTCATTTAGCTCCATCTAGTGACCATAACTGATATTACATAAAAACGTTCAACCATTCAGTGCACTTGAAAAGAAAAAAGAAACAAAGGACATTCGTTTTGGCATACTGTATATACCCACAGAGTGAACGTTCACAGATATTCGCAGGGCAAACAGCCCTGTACATTGTTTATAAATAGACCCCTTGGTATTAGATGGATACAATCCTCTTTAAATCTAATGTGGCCCAAAAGCATGAATTTGAGATTTTGGATTAGAAGAAAGCTGACCTAATGATGTGCTATTGTTCACCATTATTGATACTAGAATGATTCTCAAATCATAACAAAAAAGAAATGTAAAGAAAGTGAACTGAATGAGAGGGTAAAAGTTTGAGGAGCATGGAAGGTGAGGGAAAGCAGTTACATATAAACCAGACCCCCCTCCCCCCCACACACAATAACTGACTAAATCTTCCCTATAAATACAGTAGATTTAGATGTTTTATAACACAAAAATGGATACAGTATCAGTTGTTTTAATAATTTAATAATCTAGTTAAATGATCTAGTCAGATTAGAAATTCATTCTAAAAGAGAATTAGGTTTTCTTTGTAGTATAGAATTCGATGGACACCATATGGCTAAATTATTTAGTTCAGGTGTTTCCAGTGAAAGGTAATGCTAACACTACAGAATATAAAGATATCTGTGCTTTCAACCTGTGCATCAGTTTAGGTAAGGGCTTAGTCTGCATGCCTGGGCCCCTTTGCACAAATGCAGTGTAATAAAGACATGGTTTGGGGTGTTTGATGTTGTAGGACTTCAGTGGCCTGCACAGAGCTCTAAACTCAAATACAATTTACTCCTTTGGGATGAATTGGAACACCAATTGTGTGCCAGATCTTTATTTTCCAACATCAACTAATGCGATTTTGTCTGAATACATTGTCTGACACACATTTCCACAACACTCAAAATATCGGGTGGAGAATGATATAGCCACAAATGGAGGGGAGACAATTCCATATTAATGCCCATGCTTTAAAATGCTCAAACAGCTCATATATTGTAGGTGTGATGGTCAGGTGTCCGTTTGGTCATACAGTTCAGCAAAGTCCCTCACTATAAATGGTGTGCAATATCCATCAAACTGACTGGACACAGATGTCACGGAAGTGACCTCCATTTCGTATTGCTCCAATCAGCAGAGGGATGTGTTCACAGACTCCCTGACGATTGGAGCACGTGGACGCCTGTGTGAAAGGGACCTTTCACACAGGCGTCCATCTGCTTCAATCATCAGGGAATCCGTGAACAGTTCCCTCTGCTGATTGGAGCAGTAAGAAATGGATTTCACTTTCGTGACATCTGTGTCCAGTCAGTTTTTTCCTTTGCAATGGTGAAATAAACTGAACTGAATGGTCCCATGTTAGATCTATGGGCAGCCAGACGTAAAGGGACATGTGTCCTTTACATCCAAATACTTCTGATCAATTACATTTATATCCAAAATGTTTTTACTAGGATGCAAACTTTCTATCTATGTTGTGCTTGCATCATTCACTATCTGTTCATTTATGAATGACACCGATTTACTGCTGTATCTATCAAGATGTGTGCAATTCAGGAACACAATAAGCTACTGTAACCACCACAATAGTGTTACTTTATACATGCAAGTCATCCATAGCTGGACTGATACTCTACATTTATGCAACCAGTCCATGTTGTGTTAGCAATAACCATATCTCATCTCTCCTCATTGTTGATGAGCAATTGCCTGTTAATCCCAAGATAAGATAAACCTGTTGGAAATACAACAGCTTATGCAAATATAATGTAATATTGTCTTTTGAGCACTAGATGGCACTGTGGTGAAAAGCTAGTCTTTGCTAGTCTGTATGTTAGTTTTTCTATATGCATGCTTCTATCTATGATCTATGTGTATCCTGTTTGATGCTGTATTTCTATATACATGTATGCAATGTTCTTCTAAGCAAGTAAAACTTAATTCAGTTTTCCTCAAGATCTCAGTGCTGCTTTTTGTGCTGCAAAATTTTGAGTGTGCAGCGCTATTAAAGTGAATGAAGTGAAGTCCCCTCTTCGGGTATATCAAAAATTTATATAAGTAGGTTACGAACAAAGTTAATCAATAGTATCAGTATGGATAGGCCCGCCCCGACGCGTTTCGTCACAATCGACGTCCTCAGGGGTTTGCAGGATAAATAAACGATTATGCTTACCGCACCATGAGGAGATTTCCTTTTTTAATTATATAAAAACACAACGGACGGAACACTGCTGAAAGAGACGTCTCGGATGTGGACCCTCTGATGTATTATCTCCGCATTATTATCTCAGCTGTGGGGTGAGTGCGCACCCCTAATGGGACAGTTTGGAGACATTGATACACGCTGGTGTGGGGATAAGCTATCTAGTAATCTACCATCTTGAAACAAGTGTTGAAGATTTCACTGGACTCACTTTTTAACTTATCACCGATCACATTCTTTGTTTTTTTGCATAAGAAATGAATCACCAGTTGGGATTGTTTTAAGTTGTATCGTCCACGGGCAACATAACCGTACACAAAAGTTTAGATATTATTTGATGCACAGTCTTTCTTTTCACCAGGAGGATATAAGAATATAACAATTGTTTATGTTGTGGCATTTCACAAATATTTTTTCACCGCCATTGGAACACAATAGATTATTTTGTCACCATATATATCAAATCTGTATATTCACTCTACAGAATTCCCTAACCTTTAGGATTGATTAACTTTGTTCGTAACCTACTTATATAAATTTTTGATATACCCGAAGAGGGGACTTCACTTTATTCACTTTAATAGCGCTGCACACTCAAATTTTTTTTCATCTTCACAAAACATAGCGAGGCAGCTCTCACATCGCACCCTGTCCAGAAGCGCAGATTTTACATTGTTTCTTACATAACCAACAAAACCAACTCAAGTAGGGGTTTAATGTAGGCAGCTCTATCCTTTAAAGTTATATATAGCCATCAGATGATGGACCCATATGTTCTGCACCTGAACCTCTAGACCATGGTGATGACAAAATAAGTGATTATATGACTTTATACACAGAAGTTACATATTCACAAATTCCATTAGCATTTGCACCATAAAGGTGTCAATTATCATCAAATTAAGTCATTTAAAACCTCATCAGACCGAATTACGCTTCTCTGTAATGTACAGTACCAATAAACAGTAAATCGGCTTGTTAATAAATAACTATTAGTTATGGTTTTTTTTAAAATGTGAACACTGCCTAAAGTTAGGGAATAAGACTATCAGCAAGGGTCCTTCCCTTTCAAAACCCATTCTGCTCACAAGAAGCCACTGCCATAGGTTGGAGCACTTATTAAGTAGCTTCTGAGAAAGAAAAATCTGGTACAACTTCTGCCCTCAAAGATATTTCCCTGCAGGCTTCTTCTTGCCTAGGAGTGCATGAAACATAACTAAAAACAAAATTTAAGGCTTCTGGCATCTGGGCTACATTGCTAAGTTCCACTGATGGATCCTAAAAATGCATTTTTTATCAATATTTTTTTTACCTAATATTTAAACTTAAAGACAAAAGAAAACTTAAGACAAATACGAATAAACTGTAGACCAGAAAGCAAAAAAAACATGTAATTTTATTTTAGAAAAAAGATATAAAATATTAAAGATTTTACCTGGCTGCTCTGGGTCCTGGGCTTTACATGATGGAAGTTCAGATGGAAAAAAAAACATTGTAAGTGATATGAAAACAGCAACCGTAGCATCTGTGACATATCTGCAAAACAGAGATAAATAAATTGTAGTAAATCTTTCTGAAATATAGTTATTATATAGAGATCACACCAAGATGGTCAATTAAATGTTTAACACATCTTTGTAAACTTTGTGGCAAGTAACATGTTGCATTTAATTAGGGTAGGTCATAAAATCATAACCTGCATTTTTAACATAAGAAGGTGTCAGTGCATTCATGAAGTCCATTATGTCTTCTAAAATGAATCTGTTGCATCCATAGATGCCTTCTAAAGGCCTATTGTGACAATGTAGTGAGTCTGCTACATGTCTGGTCATAGAGATTCCACTATAATTCATCTAAATAACAGTTATATCCTGTTCCCTCACAAAATGTTAATTTTACTACTTTGAAAAGAAACCTGTACTGAGGGAAATACGTAGGTCACCACCGCTGATTTCTCCTTCCACAAAGGCCTGGCTAACATGATGTTGCAAAAGATTTAATACTAACTGAATCACTTCCCTGGAACGTATTAGATACTCCAAATCAGTGACTCAGGAAGCATTGGCACCACAGAATCTGTAGGATAGCCAGGCATCAAGCATTTTCAGATGAAGGTTAACTATGGCAGCCTTTATATTTCTTAGTTTAGATTATCTTATGTTTATAGCTATATACTATAGATCCAATATTATATTACCCCATGACTGCTGTGATCCAGGAGTGTAGATAATTTGTTTCCTGGTGGGGCAAGGCAGTTAAGCCTTGGGCACCCAAGGGAGAATGATTTGGCTGAGAATAAACTTGAGCCTATTCACTGTTTACACGGTAGGTAACATATGCCACAGTCCGTGTACCCAACAAATATCCCTTAATTGCTTTGCCACAAGTGAGAATATAACAGATACATAAAAAGCCTCAACACAATGATTTGTAAAAATTCTAACTCTTCCATTACATACGCTTTTCTGCACACAGCCTACCTTCAGGAAGAATTCATTAACATAGCCATTGACAATTGAACAAACAGCAACTGTACAATATAAAGAGTGCAGAGGTCAGGAGTATGCCATGCACAGCCCAGTGTATGGAGTGCAGAGATCAGAAGAATGAAATACACAGCATCAGTGGCGTCACAAGGGGGGTGCGGCCCGCACCCAGGTGACACCATTGGAGGGGTGACACCAAAATGACTTACAGTCATTTTGGTGTAACCCCCCTCTGAAAAGTCGGGCGCTCGGTCATGGACCGAACGCCCGACAGTATCAGCAGAGAGGAGGGGACCCTGATGCATACCTTATCCCGCCGGGTGGCTGTCTCCTCCTCTCTCTGCCGGCGTCCATCACCCAGATGGCCGCCGGCAGGTATCAGAATACTGCCGCACGTGCGCGATGACGTCATCGCGCACACGCGTTGTGACGTCACGCGCATGCGCGGTGACGTCTCGGCGGGGTGACACTCGGACACCTCTCCGGGTGTCACCCAGCCGCGAGACGCCCCTGCACAGCATAGTGTATATTGTGCAGAGCTTAGGTGCGCATAATTCACAGAATGCAGGGGTCAGGACTGTGTATCGTGCAGAGCACAGCAGTCAGGAGTGGGTAATATACAAAATACAGGGGTCAGGAATCCATATAGCCAGAGTGCAGGGGTCAGAAGTATGTAATGCACCGAAGACAGGGGTCAAGGAGAGCATAATGCACATGTCAGCAGAACAGTGCAACAAAAAATTAGCTCCCTCCCTAAGCCAAAATTTCCCCCTCTCCGACTAGTACAGGTTCCACTCCTTAACCCCCAGTGCAGCTCTGCTCCCCAGTACAGCACCCCTCCCCAGTACTGCCCTCCCTTGCAGTGCAGTACACCTTGCAATTCAGTAAAGAGCCCCTGACTAGCATCAGCGTGTAGCTCCTCCCCTACGCGTTTCGTCCAATGGACTTTCTCAGAACCCTTCCAAGGGTCTTGAGAATGGATTTTCTCAAGACCCTTGAGAAAGTCCATTGGACGAAACACGCAGGGGAGGAGCTACACGCTGACGCTAGTGTATGGAGTGGAGGAGACAGAGCTGAGCTCATACAAGCCGATTTTATGTTTTTACAGCGCTGAAAAACTCTTTTAAATGTAAGTGTTCTGATTTTAATGAATAAACTATCATCTAGCAGTTTTAAACTATGTGGCATCTTGGTTTTCTATTTTGAGCGGATAAAGGTGCCCATACACTGCACGATTATCGTACGATAATCGTATGCGATCGTTTTTTCGTACGATAATCGAGCAGTGTGAACGGAGACGTGCGACCGTTTCTACTGTACGGTCGCACGTCTTCTGTCGAACCAGCATGTTCCAAAACCTGCCAGGAATCGTACGATTCTCGGCTGGTTAGAACGGTGCTCGGAAGACAAATGCCGAACGGGCCGGTGTGCGCACGCGCACACTGCCCGTTCAGCATTGCGGTCATCAGAAGCCCGCCCCTCAGGGGGGCGGGCTTGCGATGATCGAGAGTGCGATCTGCCTGTCCAAGATAGGCAGATCGTACGTTTTATTAATCCCTGTACAACCATCGCAAGACTAAAGTCTTGCGATGGTTGTAGAGTGTATGGCCACCTTAAGAGAGATTTGGGAGAGACATTGGGCGGACTCATCATTTTCAGCTGTTGTTAATTCAGTGGAGATGAAGACATCGGACACCAGGGAAGTTTGCAGAGCGTTTGAAGACCACAGGGAGGTCGGAATTATCTGGTGAGTGTGCTAGTGTTTGTGCACCTGGAGGTGGATCACTGGTGATTAATTGATGAGGAATTGAAGCACAGAAGTCACGAGTGATTGTGGAACTTTATATGCAATGATTATTTCACTCACTGATGTAATATAAAGAAAGTGAACACAAGGATTTCATCACATTTATTTTTAATCATATCAATTTTGGGAATATTTTTATATGCACTATATATAATTTGGAGTGAACATGTTGTATAATTGTCACTAAGTATATGCACTTAGAGGTTTATAATATTAGAGATAGCGCAGTGTCTTTTGTTTAATATATTTAACTGTCTGTGTTAATTATAAAGTCCTCACAGGTAAATCTCATGTGTCTTGGGAGGCGTATACACCCACTCTCCTGTTGCATGGATTATTAATCCAGGTTTAAAGTGCGCCAAGGTATCTTTTCACTCAAATGATAAGCATAGCAGCAATATGTTTTAGGTTTGTACGCACCACTCCTTGGTCTTCAATCAATTTGACTTAGTTTCTGTATAAGATAGAATGGATGGTTTGGAAATAGCATGTGTAAACCTTCATTAAAGTAGATCCATTGTACTCCTCTGACAAGTCCAATATCTCACCTTCCACAATGTATTTCCTTACATTAGGGTACCACCGGAGCCTGTGGTATAATCGTACACCCCTGAATTCTTTACGCGTTTCATCCCAGCATAAGGGGACTTCTTTAGAAGAAGGCGTCACATTTATAAGTAACTGCATGGTGACACTGCAAAAATCTCCATGTGTAAAACAGAAAATGATGTCACATCTGTTTTGTGTAGCGCACAAATATATGCATCCGGTCAATGGAACACATAAACATGTGCATCCAGTTAATGGAGTGCAAACATACGTGTTTCCATGTAATGGAAAATTATGAAAGTAAAGTTTACTGCATGGTGAAAGCTGCATTATTGTTTTTACGTTTACATATGCAATGTAATATACAGTTTGTTCTATTTTTTCACATGGATTGAGCAATAGCCAATATGCTCCATTGATTGGATGCTCATATTCATGTGCTTCATTAACCAGATGCACATATTTATGCTCTCCACAAAACAGACATGATATAATTTCCTGTTTTACATGTGGAGATTTTTGCAGCATCACCATGCAGTTACTCATATATTACTACTGTTAGTTGTATGTCACGCCTTCTTCTGAGGAAGTCCCCTTATGCTGGGTGAAACACTTAAAGAATTCTGGGGTGCAAGACTACACCACTGGCCGCGGTGGTACTAGAGATAAGAGAATATGAGATGTAAAAAATCCGATTCTACACGGGGCGCACGTATCTTAGTGTCATATAAGTGATCGGCCGGCTATAGAGCTGGCCGAACGCTTATATGAAACAGCCGGTAATGGAACAGCCAGTTCCCAGCGGGACTCTGCTCGCAAATGTAAAAAAAATCACATACATGTACGTCCACCCGCTGGGAAGAGGTTTTTTCACACCATCCATTTTACCATCTATAGAAACTAAGTCACATGGATTGAAGACCAAGGAGTGATGAGATACAAAGCTTAAATATATTACTGCTTTGCTTATCATTTGAGCAGAAAGATACCTGGCTCACTTTAAACCTGGCTTAATAATTCATGCAACAGGAAAGTGGATGCATAAGCCTCCCATGACGCATGAGGTTTACCTGTGTGAACTGATTAACACAGACTGTTATATATGCTTTATGGTCGAATCTGGGCTAGGCTGTGCACATTCCTATGCATATGTGGTTGCAGTGTGCCTCTGCATTATCATATAAAACCCTTGCAAGGACTATCAATGTTGATATACTGTGGACTAAATATGTGGTTGGAGTTCCACTTCCTTGGATTACAGATACACACAGCCTATGAATATTTAGATGGTGATGGCAATACAAATATCTGGATATTAGATTGATATGCACTTTCAATCAGTGATAGTTTGAGACAAGTGGATTATTCTAAGCATGCTATTTTTTTGGCCTTTTAGTGTACCACTTAAATTGGTGGTTATTGGAAGTACAATCTTTGGATGTCTTTCATGTTGGTACACTAGTGATACAAACAGATACCCCAGATTCCTGTGGTTAAATCGTTTTAATTAAGTGTTTTGGTTGTTTCTTTTTTTTAATATTATAAGTATACTGTACAGTCCAATGAATTGGGCTATATGGCTCTGATAACACAGGTGATAACACAGGTGTTGTGTGGTAGGAACCATATTTTTGTGATAGGTTCATGTTACCAGGCACACTAAATGCATGGAGTTTTTCTCCTCATATTTGAGCAGGTGTGGTCTGGTTTCCTTTCCCACTCCAAAAATATCATGTTACATTAATTTCTGTCCACCTAAAGTGCCCATAGTGTGTATATGAGTGTGTTGAGGAGCATAGCATACTGTGGCTAATTGTGTGTGTGGCATTATAACAGTGGGAGTGTCCACCCCTGGACACAATTTTACACTTTATTGATTTTTTTTGTACAAAACTTACTCTTTTCCGCCTTTGTTAAAACTGATAGTTGCCCATCCTGGCATAAAGCCTGGCTCTCTAGAGAACCATAAAAGCACCAACAATGTGAAAAGAACCAAGACACAGATTTCTGCGAAAGTCATAGAGCCCAGCTTCTTGTGCTCCTCAGAGATCACTCTATATGCTCTCTTCTCTTTCTCTTTTTGTTCTGGTTTCCCACCACAGCCAAAATTCTTCTTAAACCTGGGTCAAACACAAGGATAACAGATAATCAATAACAACATAGCCATGTTTTCTAGAAAATATGTGTACTTTTGTGATACAAATGAGGCACCCTGCCAACAGGAGTGCTAAAAAAGTTAATTGTTCTCAGACTTTACTTAGTCTGAGATAAATCTGTAGTTTATGTTCATCTCAATTTCTTCAGAGCAATCTGGGATGCTGCATCTGCTTGTTGCTGGGTGTGTCGTGCCACACAGAGCAGAGCAGCCAATAAGGATTGTTCTGAGCATTTGTGCCTCCTAGCCAATCACTGGAAGGTACAGATCAGTGATGCATGCTGGGAGAGGATATAAATGCTCAGTGTGGCTGATGCAACTGTCTCTTTCCTCCCCCCGGGCCTCCCTGGAGGGCAGGCTTCTGCTGAGGGACTGAACTGGCTGGGCCTAAGCCTGGGGACTAGCCTAAAACTAACACTGGGGCCTCAGTCTGGAGGTCCAGTGGTCAGCCACTGATTCTGGAGATGGACGTAGACGAGGACTTCTGAAGTACTGCTTTGCCTGATGTTCTCTGCACAGATTGCAGGTCTGGCTTAAAGGTCCTAGTCTGTGATGGCAGCAGTTACTGTGCTCTATTTCTTAAAAGGAGTCGTCCTTGTCCTGGATGTACTGTACCCGACCCTCTCTCGCTGAAGTTCAGCAATAAAAGAGATTTAGCTTTTATCTATTGTCTGGACTTTGCTTTGTCGGTCGCCACTGAAGGTGGTAAGCGCTATTGGGGCAGCCATGTGCTTAGAAATCCTAGACAGGCTATGGAAGACCCGATCATCCAGCGGCTCCTTAGGGGGTGAGCGCTACACAAACAAAATTAAGCTATTGGTTGGTTCATTCAGGGGAGTTTACAGTTCCAACGTCAACATTTTTATAGCTCAGAAATTCTCTAGACGCAGCAGTGGAATGAAGGAGCATGGAAGGCAGAAGACATTCTGTGCTGTTACTATGTTGTAGAATGTCCCGAGTACCATTTTCAGCCTTTCAGGAGACAGAAGATGTGTACACTTTTATCAACCACCAGCAAACAAATTTGAACTGATATAAGTGAGAAACCCAGTAGAGCTCTCAATGGACCACAAGGGAAGGGAGAAGGATGAGAGTCTTTGTTCAAAAACTTGCTTGATTTTACTGGAAATACATGAACAAAGCTTACTATGTACTGAGCTTTGGGTCACAGGAGGATGTTAGAATATTTCCTCCCATGACCCTAAAGAGAACTATGGGATAAAAAGTTTACCCCATAGTTCTCATTTAAAGTATATGACCAGCTATAGCTTTTTTTAGTTTTGGATTCAGTGGGAAAAGTGAGAAACCTTGTCTTTTTTTCTGTCTGAAGTAACCATAGAGAGATTTCCCTCCACTTCCTGTTCTGCTGTTTCACTGGGCAGAAAGTGAGAGTATATCTCCAAGAGGAACATAGACAGAAATAAAAATGCTTTTTTCTTTAATAAAATGGAGGAAGACTAGAACCCACATCAGTGTTGTATTTTTGTCTGTGTCCCTGTTGTAGATTTTACATGTCTAGTAAAACCATTGTCAGCAGCACAGAATATAAAGCAATAATAATCCAGCAGGTGTTCTAATTCTTCCCCACATAACTGAATTAAAATGTTTTGACTGAGAATATACAATAGGAAATATTGTATACATTAGGAGGGACTGTCTCATTTAAATCAAATCCTTCTGTCCCTCTTTACCCCTCAATTGTCCCTCTTTTTGGTCTAATGTACACATATCTATAAAAAATTGGCTATTTAACTACTAAAAATGTTATTCTGCACTAAAACCTTCATCTTATCTCTTAATTATCTTTTTTACTATTTCAAAATGCCAGAAAAAAAAGGAAAAGTAATGGTGAAAAAAACAAAAAAATCTGGGTTTAACAAATCCTTTTTGGCATATCAATTCTTAAATGGTAACTCCACTTTAACAAAATAAAAATGAAAAAATATAAAAAAAATTAACATAACATATACTGTATACAATTGTTGCCCAAGCCATTTTGTCATGTGATGTTATTAAAAATTACCTTTCCATTTATAACTGTACCCGCTGTAATGATCAACAACTGTCAAAAGATTCAATACAATATGGCGACCTGGAGGCCCCCAGAAATGTCACTTCCTGTTTCTCTGATTAACTGACTGATTTTACCAGAAGTCTGCACCAAGATACAAGTATAATTTTTGTCATCCCTTGCAATTGGAATTTAATTTTTAGTGAGATACTCCTTAAGGGTTAATTACTACTAAAGGGATGCAGACACTGCACCTTTCCTTATTACAACACAGGAAACCCACCAAATAATTATAATAAACCCAGAGCCTCCCATTCAGGAATCAGTTTGGAAAGGACATGCTGCAACAAACAGCTTTTCCTTCAGAACAGAAACCGGTAGGAAAATGCAACAAAGTTTATTAAAATCATTGTAATGTAAATTGATTTTTTCTCAACAAAAGTGTAATTATGTTTTAATGGTACTCATAGCTGGAGGCATTGCAGGACTCTGTTCCTTGCCTAAATACATTGTGCTGGAAGATATCCCTCTTTTTTTTTAATCTCAAGGGAGTTGGGAAGTATATAATACATATCCCTATTTAGGTATGACAAGCAGTAAGCTGCCTAGCAGTAATTATATTTACACAGGTATTTGATTTCACAATACACTGGCCTTTGACTTCATGATTAAAAATGCTATTATAGACTTACTTGGTTCCCAGGAACATAAGCTGTAACCAGATCCAGGCAAGAAGAAGTAACAATATCATTGTAGGGAAGGCAAATCCAAACCATGAAGCAAAATTTATTACATTATTGTTTCCCGGGAACAACCTGCAAGATAAATATGCGTTCAAGGTCAGTTTATTACTAAAACAACGGCAATCTATAAATTATTGTATAATCTTTGAAAAAGAAATACCGATTCAGTATTACATCCTTCTTGATAAATGATGACATTAGGAAAATTGCCATTTGTATTGATTTTAACTTCTTTAGCAGATCTTTGCACGTGAAAGCAGTTCTGCCTGTGATAGGAGTTGGTGCTACAAAAAGCAGGTGTGCAGCAATCCAGCCCACCAATGATAGGTCCGTTTATTAACCCACAAATTGTATTTTGGCAGTCAATGTACCCATAGATTTCATAGGGTTGTCAGATGTGCTGCTTAGCCCAACTTTCCTCATTCATTACTATTGTCATCTATGTGCATAAATATGAAAGATGAGCTCAGCTGTTTGCTATGGAAAGGGGAAGGGAGAAAAGCAGCACTGTGCAGGTTAGACATGTAAGACAGCAAAAACATTTGGTTTGTTTTATCTTGTTTCAGATTTTTTCGTTATTTTGTGATTTTTGGGCATTGGGCCTAGAAGTCAATTTGTTTCGGGATTCGGACGAATCTGAAATTTTTGTTAATTTTGGAGGTTAAATGATATTTATGAATGAAATTTCGTGACATTTTGTTTTTAACTTCTTACAGACCACAGAAACAATAAAAAAAAACAGCATAGAGCTCACCCCCCCATGCTGTCCTGACCTAAATGATGACCTAAATGTTGACCAGACAAAAAGGGTCTGGTATAAATTAGGGTGGATTCATGCAAAATGTTCGTTCTAAAAATTCAGATACGTTTGGATTAATTCATTTTTCATTCGGAAATTCAGATGCATCTGAATGTCCAAATATCCTGAAATTCGTTAGAATTTCAATTTGGATCAATACTGAACGCACATTTCAAATGGAACTCAGGTTTTCTCACATGGCCATTAAAATACACCTAAACCTTCAGTTTAACCCCTTGCCGTCCGCCCATTGTAAAATTATGCTCCTTGTGGCGGGGTCATGTAAATGTACGTCATTTTTTTCTGCTCACGGGTAATCTGCCTGCCGGGAATCTGTACAGCCGTTATTACACATACAAGCGATCGGCGGCTCTATAGCCTCCCGATTGCTTGTATGTGTCGCCATGCACGCCCCCCCTCCCACAGTACCGCCCACCCCTCCTGCACCCTCACTTTCAATCCCGGGCTATGCTGCCCCATCTGCGGCCCAGGACCGCCTCGGGAGGGTGTCAGGAGAAAGATGGGAGGGAGATCAGCATCTTCCTCCTTGCTGATTTCCATCCGACGTCTGAATGCGGAAGTGATGTGTAATACATTACTTCCGCATTCACTTGTCAGTCCTCTGGCTGCTATAGCCAGAGAGAAGAAGCTGATGAAGCAGATCTCTGCTTCATCAGCTTCTTTGGGGGTCCCCAGGTGACATTAGGGGTCTGAAGAGGACCTGTCAGTGTGCCTGTGCTATCAAATTGGTTGATTGTTATCAACCTATGTGATAGCAACAACATTAACGGGTATATTCATGAAGCAGCCGAAGGATCTAGCCGTAGTTTCGGACCATCCTTCGGCTAGCTTCGCTCCAGGACACCTTCGGTTCAGTAGAACTGAAGGGCTGCTGTACGGGCTATTCACAATAGCCCATACAGCTCCCGAACTTAGCCGAGCGGCTCAGCATATGCCTTGGCTCGGCTGGGCTGAGCCATGCTGAAAGCCGAAGCTGGCCGAGCGGCCGGCCACAGCCTGCTTCTGACAGCTTGCCGGAGCCAGCCGTGATCTTACGGAGAGAGATCAGCGTCCCTGGTTACCAGCTAACCAGGGACACTGATCTCCAGACAGCAAACTCTCCCGGGCGCTCCGGGAGTCTCCCGCTCCCCGCTGCCCAGAAGAGAAACACTGCTTTTTCTTTTTTTTATTTATTCTGACACGGAGGCATGTCAGAATAGAAAAAAATTTAATAATTTTTGCCCATAGGAATGCATTGCTAGATTCCTACTGGCTATTTCAATTTGCAATAGCCAATAGTAAACTAGCATTGCACTCGCCCTCTGCTGCAGTTCTCCATCAGGTCCATCAGCAGAGGGCGGGTGCAATGCTAGTTTACTATTGGCTATTGCAAATTGAAATAGCCAATAGAAATCTAGCAATGCATTCCAATGGGCAAAAACGTTTTTGTTTTGTTTTTTCCTATTCTGACACGGCTCTGTGTCAGAGAATAAAGAAAAAAAAGAAAAATCAGTGTTTCTCTCCTGGGTGGCCGGGAGCGGGAGGCTCCCGGAGCGCCCGGGAGATTTGTTGGGCTGAGCTAGCTGTCATTGCTAGCTCCGCACAATCGTTTTGTATTTACTTTTTTTACTATTTTTCTGTTCTGCTCGGTCCCTCTGAGGGACCAAGCAGAACATCCGAGTCGAATGCTGCTCAGCAGCATTCGGCTATTCACTCACTGCTGTTCAGCATCTATAAGAATAGACCGAACAGCAGCGAGTAGCCTTCCGGAGGTTCGGCTTAGCTGATCCAGATGTTGGATTGGCTGAGTCGAACTCCTTCTGCACTTAGGGTCGGCCGAACATGCTGAGCATGTCTGGCCGACTCGAAGCCACGTTAAGCCACCCGATGTACGGCTGAAATCAGCCGTACCAGCCTGAAGTGAATAGCCGAACAGCATTCGGCTCACTTCGCTTTAGGTCGGTCACTCACTCGGCTGCCTACGGCAGTGTAAAAAAAAAAAAAGTACAAAATAAATAAAAGTCACATATAAAGAAACGTAAAAAACCCCCCAAATTTTTAAAGTCCCCCACGTATACGCATATATAAACGTAAATACGCGTCGGGTGCGCCAATGCGCGAAAGCGACAATTACGGTACACATGTTACATATCACCGCGAACGTCGGAGAGCAATAATTTTAGGGCCATCAATCACTGATAACACTAAACTGATGAGCGGTAAAAGCTTGTAAAGCTTTGCTTATGGCCAATTTTGGGTATTGTCATTTTTTGAGGTTTCGCGTGTTTGGTGTCTATTTACCCAACCCCGTCTTTTATATTTTACCTAAAAATTGGGTATTATTAAATGTTTCATAATTTAATATAGGGGAAAGTTTTTTTTCAAGATTTACGGTAATTTTTCCTTAATATAGTAAAAAATAAAAAGCCCAGTGGTGATTAAATATCAGCAAAAGAAAGCTCTATCTGTGCCCAAAAAATGGTATAAAATTAATTTCAGTACAGCGTTGCGTGACTGAATAAATGTACCTTATTTGCCGGCGTATAAGACGGCTGGGCGTATAAGACGACCCCCCACTTTTTGTGTACAAATATAGGTTTTGGGCTATACTCATCGTATAAGACGAGTATAGCCCAAAACTATAAAAGAATACAAAGCCTGCCGTGATTGGCTCAGCGCGGTATACTGTATACTGTATGTAGCCGAAGGCTAAATATGTCCCTGGTGCATCAAAACAGAAAGTGCAAACTCTTAAGGTGGCCATACACTTTACAACCATCGCAAGACCTTAGTCTTGCGATGGTTGTAAAGTACTTAAAAAAACGTACGATCTGCCCATCTTGGACAGGCAGATCGTACTCTCGATCATCGCAAGCTTACGATGACTGTAATGAGGGGCGGGCTTACGATGACTGCAAACGGGCAGTGTGCGCGTGCGCACACCGGCCCGTTCGGCAGTTGTCGAACCAGCAGGCCACTAACTCGCCGAGAATCGTACGATTCCCGGCGGGGTTTCTAGCATGCTGGTTCGACGGAAGACGTGCGACCGTACAGTAGAAACGGTCGCACGCCTTCCATACACTGCACGATTCTCATACGATCGCGGGATTTCCTGCGATTCTCGTACGAGAATTGTGCAGTGTATGGGCACCTTTACAGATTGTTTTTCTTAGAAAACCAGCAAAGTTTTTTTTATTTATCCGGTTTTGTTGACTGGTTCCCCAGACCTTAGATCTGTTTGCATTACTATTTAGTTTGTGTGGCCTAACTCTACAGCTTGTCATATTTCCAGGGACCTTATTATCTGGAACCACACTCATGTGATCCCTTGTTTACCCAATATACACATCTACTGCTACTTTATATCAAGCAATCTGTCAATTGCAAATTAAGCAGTATGTATGGCTCCGCCTTATATATGGACATCTCAGTTGAGATGAAAAAAAATCAATATGAAACAAATAAATGTACATGCAGTATAATCAAACACAGCTGACTGTATTGATTGTAAGTAACACACATTAGTAAGTACCTGCACTTAATGTATAAGAAAGACATTTCAGGTTGACTGTACTTTGTAACTAAAGGAACATAAATATTATTGATTTAAAAAGCTATAATGTAAGCTAATGTGATAAATAATATCACCTTTTCCCAGTCATTCTCTGATAAGCATATGACATCAATATAGCAGTAAATAACTTAGACATAAGACATTAGCGCATTAGAGAACATTGTAGGGTAGATATTTTTTTCAGTTGATAGTACTGCATATGCCAAGGCAGCACTTTGTGAACCACCATTATAATCATTATAGAATGGTACAACCTACTCGTCCATCTGTCCTTTCATGACCAAATTGGGTGTTGTGCCCGTCAGTGTTGCAATGCCCCCGATGCTGGCAGAGTAACATACGCAAAGACTCATTCCTTTGCACAGTTTCATGTGCTTCTGTTTTCTACGATCTTGTCCCTCTTGCTTTGATTTTTCATCCTCTAAATCAATCGCAACTGCTGTGACACCTATAGAATAAAACACACCGCAAGTATGCCATTAGACTAATCTGGACTGAAGACTAAAAGAGAATCCTTGGACATCAATAGACTTAGCAAATGTTAGACCTTAAGAGTAGTCGATAATACAAAATCACCTGCACTCCATACAGCGTACAGACCTTGAGTAAGAGGTTGGTGCTTGAAGTGGCAACACGGATGGCGCCGTGTCAGATACAGTCCATAATAGAAGTCACCAGCACTCGATGATATGTGCAAGAAGTAAAGCACTTTTTATTCAATCGTCACATGCGTCAAACAGTCAACGTTTCGGGGCCACGTCGGGTCCCTTCTTCTGGGCGACATAGTGACATAGTGACTCTGGGCCACATAGGTCACTATGTCGCCCAGAAGAAGGGACCCTCCGTGGCCCCGAAACGTTGGCTGTTTGACGCATGTGACGATTGAATAAAAAGTGCTTTACTTCTTGCACATATCATCGAGTGCTGGTGACTTCTATTATGGACCTTAAGAGTAGGTCACAGGTCAAGGTTACAACCTTGGCACCACCTACGCTCGGACTAGTGTTGAATCCCAGTTAAAGTCTCACTCCTCTGATAGCATGAGCCATTACCTTGTATTGTACTGCCTCTGCACTCCTTGCAACTTCTCAAACACCCCTTTTCCTCACTCTCATCACAACCTTCTTCAACCCCTTTATCCCTCCTTCCCACAAAGAGTTACCCACTCTCTAGAACTCAATCTTTCCAAAACTGAGCTCATATACTGGTAATCCAGCACTGCAGATGTGCCCACACCAGACAGGCACCAATTATTTTCTGGATCATAAAAGGGCCCGGCACTGGTCAGCAAGTAGGAAGTGTGAACTTCACACAGGTGGGGGTGTGGACACCTAAATAAGGGCTCTACCTCCTGTGCATGGAAGAAGAGAGAAAACTCAGCACCCTAACGTCATGTGGCCGCAGATTTAGAGTAAAAGGGTGTTTTTTTAATTATTATTATTTTTAGAAGGGGTGTGGAAAGGTAGTGTTTGGGAAGGGAGGATGAGCCCAAATATTGACTCTAAAGTGTATGTTCAGTCTGAGGCTTCGTTTGAGAGATTTTCCCTCACTTATTGACCAGCCAGGAAGTAAGGGAAAATTTCCAACAGCAACACAGATAGAAATAAAAATGCTTTACATTAATAGAGTAGAGGAAAGGCTAGAATCATGTCATAATTGTATTACTGCCTTAATCCCTGAACAGTGAAACTGTTGTCACTGTGACAGTAAATGAGGGGAGATTTCTTGCTATTAAATTGTTAATCAGCATGTCACAATTCACACCATTTAATATGTAATCAAGATGGCTTTTTATGAAACTTTGTTAACTTACTTGGCTTCCCCTGTTTAATAAGATCAGAATCTATTGGTTGTTTTTCATACATTTCAAATGTCTGGTTTATATTTCCATTTGGCTGTTTATCTAATGCTTTGAATTCCTCAGGTGCGTTATCCTTTAAGCCCAGTTTGGTGACTCCGTTCATTTGATTTTCATCTTGGTTGACATTATCTGATGGACAATCTTCCAGTTTTTCTTCCGAAGTGTAAAGCTGCTGCAGGACGGCCTGGGCTATTGGTATCATCATGGCAGTAGTGGCTGTATTACTGATCCACATGGACAGGAAGGCTGTAACCACCATGAACCCCAGAAGCAACCTGGAAACAAAAGGTGTCTTTATGTTTTATCGTATCTGCAGTTTGTAGTGATTAAACATTTCAAATATAAAAATGACAAAGGTTACAGTTTTAATAAAATGTTATTATTGGCCTGTGCTAACTGCTGTTTAAATCCCATTTTGTACTCACTGGAAAATCGTATTCTTAGAGTGCACTGAGGAACACAGAAGTCTTGCACTGTCAGAACATCCAAAAGTAGTCCAACTACTTTAGGGGTGAATAACAGTAAATAAAACGGACCCACAAAAAAGCAATAGAACTGAGAGACTGCCTGCAGCTCATAGACCTGCCTGAAGGACCTTATACCCGAAGCTGGTGTCAGATGATTCTGAAGAGCCCAAGAAGCACTCACAGATCTATTGGAGTGTGCCTTGACAGGAAAGAGGGGCATCTGATGATTAACAACATAAGTTTGAATGATGGTAAGATGAGCCACTGAGAAATGGTGGAACAAGAAGCTGGTTCACCCATCTGGTGACAATCAGGAATGACAAAGTGAGAGTCAGTCTTTCTGAAGGAAGCAGTGGCTGCAAGGTTACCTCTCAAAGCACAAACTGCATAAAAGGCAATAGAGGGAGATCTGCTTCTGATGAATTAGAACTGGACAGAGACAGAATAACAATGTCCTGGTTGAACTGGACAGAGACAGAATAACAATGTCCTGGTTGAAGTGTATAGGCTGAAACTACCTTATGTAGGAAGGAAGTTCTTGACCTCAACACCACTTTGCCCTTACTTAAGACCAGAAACGCAACTTTGCAAGAAGGAAAGAATCTATTTTAGATCGCATTGAATCACAAGGGAGCACACAGGGAGAACCACATGAAAGACACCTACATAAAGGTCTTCATTAAAGAATCGAACACGATAGCAAGTGCAAAGACCTGACTCTTGAAGGTGCAAATGACTAGGTGCTGGTCCAGAAGAGCATTACGTTCTGGGCCAGGATTTGTCCCATGTAGAATTTCCTGGGGGTGAACGTTTCTTGTTTCAAACAAGCAAAGTATGCCTTCTATGTGCATTGAGAGACTTTGCAGGATTTGAGCATAATAGGAAAAAGCAATTCAAAGATGCCTCTGTTCCTCAGAATCTGTGCTTCAAGAGCCATGCCGTAAAGCCAGTGTGAAGCAAGGATGTCACAAGAATCTTCCAGAAGACTGGAAGGAAAGACTTCCCCTGACTCCACAGCATAAAAAGATTTATATGTGGTTTGGGGGACTTGGAAGTCCAAGATCTGCAGATACACTTGGTGCCGGACTTGGGTTTGGACTTGGAGGTTTAGGCAGTGGAGGAATGAAAGGGACTCTTCTTGGGCTATGTCGAGGAGTGAGTTTTCCCAGATTGAGCCCTGGGCTTCATGTGCTGTGGACAATAGGTACTCTTGCTACTGGTTGCCTTCTTGATGAGGACAGGATACTCATACAGGAGACCAGGCAGAAGACCTCAATACCTCATCCAAGCTTAAGTTCAAAGTTGCAGCCATGAGTTCCAAGGGATCAACCACCAAATAGGTGCAAAGAGCAATTACAGTGTTTGCAGATAATGGCATACTTATACAATTGTGTGAGAACAATAAAGATGCATACCTATTTAAACCACATGTCTCAAGTGAAGTGTCTATTTTAATAATGACTAACATGTACCAACAATCTGGAGATATCTAATATAGAGTAGGTCTCAATATTTCAATGGGTGCTATTTGGTTTAATTGTGTCCTGTATATTTATTTACCTCAACCATATTGAAACACATTTTTGTGGCATCCTCTGAAGTAATCTAAGACCAATAACATCTAATTGCGGGGCATTCTCACACCACATGAAGAAATCTGGCCATGAGGGCATCTAAAGCTAGAGGATATGGAACCCCATCCCATATAGTTGTATAACACCCTGCGTTGAAACTGGAGTTGAACCAACTTATCCCTAGATAAGATAACTGAGGTGGTATTATGAGACAACAGACTATCCCATTCGTCATCCGTAATATTAGGGATATCTGCTGTCCATCTAGTTTTGAGTTTATCAATGGTAGTGATTTTACACTCTAAAAATTTACAATAGTAAGTAGAGATAAACTTTGTGTGTTTAGACACTATTAACATTTTCTCAAGGAACTGTGGTTATAAAAGCAGTTGTAAGTAGCTAGAAAAACATGTTCTGGACACCTGAATTCCTGCCTAAATGATTTGCCCCAAATAAAGCTGTTGAAGCTGGTGATGGTACTTGATCCCAAATCGCGCCCAACAGTCTTACCCTTAAAATGTATTTCCACTTTCGCAACCAAATTGGAATAACGCCTATTTTATGTTTGTTATATGTTCCCATTTACATAGCATAAGCTAAAAAAAATATTTAAAAATGCTTCTTGCAGTTTAAATTGCTTTTACTTGGGTTAGGGTTTTAAGGGTTAAAATTTCTTCTTGCTTCTATTTCTTTGAAATGTTAGGGGGCTGTGAGGAGTGAGGGGTCTGAGGTGCTGTGTCCATTGTATGTTAATAAAAGCTTATCAGATAAACACAATCCTCAAATTTCAGACCACTGTGGCTAAGAAAAACCTGGAATCAGCCGAAGTTTCAGCCGAAGCGGAGCGAACGGCCTGCCGAAGGACGGCCTTTCGCCCTGCCTTTCGCCCTGCCTTTCGCCCTGTTATTCATTGGCCGGGACCTGCCAGAAGACTCTGTCACTCCTAGCTCCGCCCGATTGTTTTTTTTTAAACCTTTATTTTGTTATTTACCTATTTATTTACATTTTAGAATTTTTTTTCAACCTTTTTTTTTTCCCATTGATTTTCTATTCTGCTTGGTACCACGGAGGTTCCGAGCTGAATGCCGCTTGGTAGAGCATGTTTGGCTGACCGAAGTGCAGCCGATGCTCGGCTGATTTCACTTCAGCTGGCTTATTCACTTGGCTGCCTTCGAGGTGGGGCAACACTATGTGATGCTGATCGCATTGTAAACAGAATGGTGCTGCAAGGGTTGCTGCCTTTTCTTCAAGCGAATCCCGAACAGTCTAGCACCACACTCCAACTTTTTTTAGAATAAAGAGAGAACGAGGAGGAGAGACAGACAGGGAAGAGAGCGAGGAGAGACAGCCAGGGGAGAGAGGAGAGACAGCCAGGAGAGAGAGAAGAGAGAGTGAGGCGAGACAGCCAGGAGAGAGACAGTCAGAATAGAGAGAGGAGAGACAGCCAGGAGAGAGAGAAGAGACAGCTAGGAGAGAGAGAGAAAAGAGACAGCAAGGATAAAGAGAGAAGAGACAGCCAGGAGAGAGAGAGGAGATGCAGCCATGGGAGAGAGCAGGGTGAGGCAGCCAGGAAAGAGAGCAAGAAGAGACAGCAAAGGGAGAGAGTGAGGAGAGATAGCCAGAATAGAGTGAGAAGAGACAGCCAGGGGAGACAGCAAGGAGAGACAGACAGAGAGAGCAAGGAGAGACATCCACGAGAGAAAGCGAGAAGAGACAGCCAGGGGAGAGAGCAAAGAGAGACAGCCAGGAGAAAGATTGAGGAAAGACAGCCAGGAGAGAGAGCAAGGAGAGACAGCTGGGAGAGAGAGAAAGAGAGGAGAGGCAGCCAGGAGAGAGAGCTAGGGGAGAGAGCAAAGAGAGACAGTTAGGAGAGAGCGAGGAGAGACAGACAGGAGAGAAAGAGGAGAGACAGAGAGGAGAGAAAGGCAGGAGAGACAGCAAGGGGATAGAGTGAGAGACAGCCAGGAGAAAGAGCAAGGACAGACAGCCAGGAGAAAGAGCAAGGACAGACAGCCAGGAGAGAGACAGGATATTGAATATCCTGGTGGGAAGCTGTGCGGAGTCTCAGGAGGACTATACGGGATCTCAGGAGGGCTGTGTACGGGGTCTCAGGCGGGCTGTGCAGGTATCGGTGCAGTAGCATCCCAAGTGAATTATAAACGTGCAATGCATTTTATAGACCAACTACACATGCAATCTAATGATAATCTACATGTGATATAAATATATAAGTATGCAGAATAACCCTATGGTGAATAAATACAATATATAGTGGAAAAATACCTAATAATGTATTCACCATAGGGTGATTCTGCGTATTTATATATTTCTGTATTTATTTCACATGTAGATTATCATTAAAGAGACATTAAAGTCAAAAGTTTTTTTCCCTCCCCCCATGTTAATGTTAGCACTTACCTTAAATGATGTCTCTTATTCCGATCTTCTTCTTTCCTGATGTTTTCATCTGTCCCTCCAGCGGTGCGGCAGCTCTCCGATCCAGCGCTAACTCCTCTCTGCTTGCAGGCACTTCCGATCCTGCGGTGTCTGCATGCGGGTGCACGCGTCCATAGACTTACCTTGCGTCCCTGCTTGTCTCCCGGCCGAGAATACGAACTGCGCATGCGCCTGCCCCAAGATCCTTTGCGGCCGCACGAGCAGTTCCTGATCCTCGGCGCGGGAGCACGCAGCGATAACGAGGCAAGTTTAAACCGCTGTTAAACCAAAATTACTGACGGGAGTGGGGGGGGGTGGTCCCGGGTATGAATTTGATTTCTTTATTATTATTTATTATTTTTAAAACACAAAAGTTCATCCCGAATGACATTTGGAAACAATTTCGGATGCATCCAAATTTCATTATCATTAAATGTGGATACGTTTGTATTCGTATTATCTTTCACTCTGAAAGTCGGATGCATCCGAATGTCCGAATTTGCCGATATTCGTACGAATTTCTTTTTTAACATTGAATAGTGGGAAAAAGAACATGTGACACTCCACCGAGAGGATGACATCACTGCTGAATCCCTCAGTATCAACTGAGGGAAAGAGGGCGGTGCAGGGTGGGAAAGTAGGCAATTTAACGGGGCACAGCAGTTCTAGTGTCTTCAGAGACATGGTCAATCGGTGAGGCAATGCCACATCTCTTGGCCAGGAAAGTGCTCTGCGGCTAAATTTTACCAGTACACAGGTCTATAAAGCACCATAATGCAGTGCCCAGTGCCTGAAGGTCACATTCCAGGCTCACCCCACATGTCCAATCCAGCAGGGTGTGGGTAAGGCACTCTAAAGACAGGCTTAGGAAATACCAATCTGGATAGCTGCATATAGAGAGCAGCTCAGCAGCAATGTAGTAGAAATCTTGAATAAAGAAAACAAGTAGCTAGCAAAAAGATTAGACTTTTCTCAGTCTTAAGACAGGCTTAGGAAATACCAATCTGGATAGCTACATATAGAGACCAGCTCAGCAGCAATGTAGTAGAAATCTTGAATACATTAAACAAGTTCTAGCAGAAAGATTAGACTTTACTTTTCTCAGGAGAGCAGAGAACAGATGTTTATCTGCCTAGGACACAAGCAAAAAATTGAAGCATGCTGGCTGCAGGAAGGGTTATCCTGGGCTGGCCCACAATTGTTTTGTTTGCCAGCATCCAGTCCTTCCATAAGCTGTAGCATAAAGGACAGTACATGACTTTCTGTGTCCCTCAATAGACGAGAAATAAAAGATTATATTTAGCTGCTTTATGGACATGATACATTGATGTATACACTAAAAATTTGGCTTTTTATACCTTTTAGGAACTCTCAGCAGTGCGAACGATGCATTGGGAACTGCTAGGTATACCCATCTGTGGCAGACCTAACAAGAGATTCTCATTCGCATTCTACAAAAACAAAAATTCAGTGGGAGGACTAAAACTCTGTACTATAATATTTAGGGAATGAGGGAATATAGGAGCCTGCAAGAGATATAAAAACCTTTCCATCTTTCCAATATCCACACATCCATGAAATGTCACTTATGGGCAAGATTGTCCATTACGTTTTCTTTTTCAATTAACATGACATCATAACTCATACATATTCTTTTAACCTATAACTTTGACCAACACTCAATACCGACAACCTTGCTTCTGCACTTATACATGTTGGAAATGCAGCAGCATATACTGATATAGTTTTACTTTGTCTTTTGAGCTGTAGATGGCGCTGTAGTGCAGAGTTAGTCTCTATGTGCATGCCTAAGCATGATATAAAGGAAGTTGTTTTTTTCTTTTTTCTGTTTCCTACACAATGCCATATTTATACATATAATGTTATTCTAAGCAAGTAAAACTTGATTCAGCATTACTCAAGAACTCAGTGCGTCATCTAAACACATAACCAACAATACAGGCATTCATAAATGTAACTTACAAAGCTGGCTTGACTCCAACTAAGAGTAATACTCTTAGAGCAATCCGTTTGTGTAAATTCCATTTCTCTACTGATATGGCCACCAGTAGCCCACCGATGAACAGCATATTGGTGTCTTTCAGATACTGGCTGCATGCCTGAAATGAAAAGGACCATTGGGATCTTACAAACATCCTTAAACTTTCAGAGGGAGAACAACACCAACATGAAAACATTTCAAGCGTATCTCAGAAAGTGATGGGAAATTCAATTGTTTACAGCTGTCTCGGGAACAGAAGGTGAGGGTACATTTTCCAATGGGGACACTTGATCCAGTAACAATGTGTAAGAGGAGATTTCCACTCACTTCCTGTTGTGGCTTTAGGACAGGAGGTGAGAGGAAATCTCCCCATTAGGAAACAGCAAAAAAAAAGGATATAAAAACAACTTCACTGTCCATTCACGTATCCTGCTGCAATATATAAATACAGGCCACTCTATAAACACCTATATAGAATGCTTTATAATAGGGCAGAGTACGTGGGGCTTCATACTCTCACTTTCTGGTGTTAAGGCCTATGTTAGGGCTTATACATCAATGCCTTTTATCTATGGCAGTGCTTCTTCATTATTCTACTGCACATTTGTACCACCTTTTCTGATTGGATAATACAATTCTTCCAGAGAATAAAATGGAGAAGAGGTGAGGAGTAGAGAGTTCTACTGACATGAGAATTCGTGTTAATATTTAATCTCTGTATTTTTTTTAAAGAAATAAATATTCTTTATAATAAATTACCGTTCTCAAAATTATGAGTATTACCAATTAATATATCCTGCTTCATGATCCAGTAGTTGAAAAGTCCAAGAAACCGAAACTAAACCAATATTAAGGAGATCAAAATCCTTCAGAGGGTTCATTGCTCCAAGCAGGATAAATGTTGAAAATGCAAATAATACATCGTCCAGACTTGTAGGCAGCTACAGAGATGAACATAGTCACTTCCTGTGTTACCACTCGATTACAAGGCTAAACCCGAGTTCTAATTCTTCTGAGACCATCTGGCCCATAAGTAGTCACTTAAACAGCTGCTCTGACTAATTAATGTACCTTTAACTTGCAGTACATTTGACAATCCTTAAGAAATAGGCTTAATAAACCTATAGCTGCAGAGTTTGGGGTCAAAGGAGTTTTTCCCCAGAACAGGGGTAGTTTGCTGAATCCCGTGAATTTCTTTACCCACAATCCCCTGGGCTCCCACAATTCCCAGGACTTCTGGACATGTCCAGGGGATATGTATTCCATGGTTTTCCTCATTCAGGTGCTCAAAGAGGTGCTAAAACACCTCATTCAGGTGCTTTAGCAATCAGCTGGGGAGTCCTTCTGCCTTTTTCCCTGCTTGCAGGCCGCTGGATGAGAGCACAAGAGCACATGGCAGACTGCTGCCTTGAACACTGATCCCTGGGACTCCTGCTGCTATTTCAACATTCAGAGATAATCTGTCTTCCCTCTATGGAGCCCGTCTTGAGATCCCTGTGGTTGACCAACTGGGCTACCAGCCGCAGCTAGCTTCCTTGTGAGTGAGGTGTTGTCCCTTCTCCAGTGGAACCCCAGCTGTGTTTACACTAGAATGGAATGTGCTGTTTATTACTAATGATTTATTCCTAAACTCTCTTCTCTTAGCTTCTGTATGCTTGTTGAGTACTCCTTTACCATTTTGTTGGCATTGCCAGTTTATCTTGCATTTGTACTACAAACCTCAGGCTGCACATTACCATCTGTCTGATCATTTAACTGATAACTCTAAGCAGTTATCAACAAACGATAACTCAGATGATTTGGCTGATAACTCCGGTCTTGTTATTTTTTAAAGTGAATTCTATTTTGATGGGAACTTCCTGAGAGATCCCTGTCTGCATCCACTTCCTATGCGTCTTCTCTTACAGTTTTTACTAGTTTCTGGGACCTGAAGCCCATATCCAGGCACCTTCTGGCAAGAAGGAGAGTGTAGTTGTTAGACCTGCTTGTTAGACCACTTCTTATTTTACATTGCAACTATCCTCATCACTTCTGCAAGAACTGGAACACCTCTCCTTTCAATTCTTCATCTTACTCTTTTTCTCTAAGCTGCTCTGCAACAGTTCTTTAACATGTTTACTATTTACTGGATTTTTCAGGACTATTCTCTTTTTTCTTATCTTCTCGTTTCCTTATCATAAAGGATTGATCTTTACTGATTTGGTTTGAAATATACAAGGCACAAGTAGTACCAGAAGGAAATCTCAATCTTGTGAGCAGTCAAGTTTTACTAGAAGGCACTAATTCTGGATTCTGCATTTGCTCAAGGATGAACTTATGAACTGGACACCCTAGAAGTTACTCCTCTCAGTTTACTATTTCTGCTGGTCATGGTACATCCATTCTAACTATATCTTCTTTTTTTGCATCCTTCATATATCTTCACATAACGTCTTGGGCCCTCTCCTCCCTAAGTTCTCGTTGAAGTTCCTAATCATGCTCAGCTCTCCATACCTTCTCCACAATGTACAGTGTCTGTGGGTGCCAGCTTTTCTTTAAGTTTAAATAACAGCCCTGTGATTTAAACATTGGTACAAGCTGAATTGTTATGTAATCCAAGCTGAGCAGTGTGCTTGGGTGTGATTTCGTTGATATTATGCTACTGATTTGCAGATTATGTAAATATGATCTCTAGTTAAAGATGATCTATAGACAGCCGCATCACATTAGGTATTCAGAACAAGGCTTTGAAAAAAGGCTTTTGTAATGCTTGGAAAAACTATTCCATAATATTTGTTGTCTGATTTTTGCAGTAAAGCTCAAGGAAACATTTAAAGTACTTACTGTAACTGTGCAAAAATGCTGTGTGCACATACTTACAGGAAAAGCAGTACAAAACAAACATACACAGGCACACACTAATCTATTTGTTCTAGTACATGGAATGGTTTCTGCGACACTAAAGGTACTTAGCTTCCAGTTGCACATTCCGTATGCAACTGGAAGCTAAGGTTTGCCAAGCATTACATTTGGGGGTTGGTTCTTCGGATAAGCTTTACATTTGGGGGACTTCACCATGCCTAGAGGGGACTTCACAATGCAACTCACCATGGAACTTTGAGCAAGGAGGACATCACTGAAACAAAGGACTTAAAGGGCTATTCACAAAAGGGTGAAGAATTTGGACAAGGTAGGAGAAGTGAACAATCTAGGCCAAAATAGCTGATTTGGAAACAATTCTACGATTCAGCTCACTTTCCAGTTCAGACTTTTCCTGGGAATACTTAATTGCCACAAAGTCCTGGTTAAATACGGAATTTGCAACTGGAAGCGAAGTACCTTTAGTGTATCCTCTCTTAGAAACCATTTTATTTACTAGAACGGATAGATTAGTGGATGCCGGTGTATGTTTGTTTGTAGCCAGTGCCGGTGCTAGGATTCTTGCCTACACAGGCAATGTGCATTTTTGCCCCCCCTCCCCGACCCCTGTAGTGCTGGGCCTGCTTGCGCTATGTTTTTTTTTTCACTTACCTTCGGCGCGGGAGAGCAACGGCGAGTCAGCGCTGGTCTGGTGGGAGGAGCTCCAGGTGGGGTCCTAATTTAGCTGGCCGGCGACTGCCAGAGGTGCCGCGCGTGTCGGGATCCTCTGGCAGTCGCCGGCCAGCTAAATTAGGACCCCACCTGGAGCTCCTCGCCACCGGACCAGCGCTGTCTCGCCGATGCTCTCCGGCACCGAAGGTAAGTGAAAAAAAAAAACATAGCGCAAGCATCGGGGCATTTTGGCAAGTACAAGTACTGCAGCGCCCTCAGGCGGCCGCCTGACTTGCCTTGTGATAGCGCCGGGCCTGTTTGTAGCAGCCTGTATGTTTGTTTTGTACTACTTTTCCTGTAACTAAGTTTGTGCAAGAAGAATGTTTGCATAGTAAAGTATGTTATATGGCACTGGGTCAGTTTCCTTGAGCTTTACTGCAAGAATCAGACAACAATTATATGTCAAAGTTTTGCCAAGCATTACAGCGTTGTTATTATGCTCCAAAATATTTTCTTACTTTTAAAAACACTGCATATCCCTGTCTCTTCTGAATCACAGCTTCTGCTGTTTTTTGTTTTTGAGTCACCTTAATCCACGATGTCTTGCACCACATGTCACATGCAACTGGATTCCAGGCTGTAGGAGAGGCTGACAAATAGGGAGGTGGAACTGTGAAGGAGTAGTGAAAAAACAATGTACTCGTTTCTGAGTATAGTGCTTCTGCAAGTGCAACCAGATATATCATTAAGGTAGAATAAATTGTGTGCACAGGTGTTACAGGAAATGTTTGTGTACATGGTTTCTCAGCCTCCAAATAAAAGTATGTATGGACATAGAAATGAAAAGATACGGGGGGTAAGGTATGTTAAAATGGCATGCTAATGCAAATTTGAAATATTTGTTTTAAGACTTTAGTGACACATTAATGGAGGGTTAAAGGTTTGAAGGATTGATTGAGAGCAATGTTCAGTTAATAAGGATGAACTTATAAAATCTGTTGGATTTAAATCTTTATTACCTGTGGAATTGTACCTGTTGTTTGAAATAGAACATTGTTATTACACCCCTAATGTAATATGTTATGTTAAAGTACTCATTCACAAATAGCTCTGTGACTGTAGTATAAAGGGGAGTGTTAGAGGGTATGATATGGTAGTACCTTGTTCTGCTGGAAGACACTGTACTGTCTGCTTTTTAATTGAGGGGGAGTAGCTTACTCAAAATTATGCACACTTTTAAAGGGTGCCATGACTGAAAACAGTTTGAGAATCAATGCTCTATATACACAGTCAATAATAATCAGCTGCCTGCAAGTATATAGTATATTGCAATGCTTGGGCAGGATCATTGTTACCTATTAGTGTTTAGATGAAGAAAAGTAGGTGGGCAAACAGTTGAGGGTCAAACCAGAGTATGCAGGGCTATGCTAAATATCAAGTAATTGCGGTACAAGCAACCGTCTAGAGCAGCCGGTTTGAGGTGGTGCCAACCTATGAGAAAGAATCACAGTTGGAGGTTGAACAGTCATTAATAGCAAATCCAAAAATTGTGTGTTACAGCCAAATATTGAATTCAGAGTTGAAGGTCACAGCAGACTCAAGCACCCAGCAGAGCCCTCTCACATGTATGATTCACCTGAAGGAATAAAGAGGAAGTGTATGCTGTTGGGCACTGGGAGGAAACCTAAAGCAGGGAGGAGGCTGCAGGTGGAGGAGTTATGGAAGCAGTAGCAGATGGTGGACAGAAGGACCTAGGGGACACTGCAGGAACAGCAACAGAGAATATGGTGGGAAGCCTAGCAGGAGACTACACTAATGATGACCAACCTTCATTTTTTTCAGAAACTTACATTTGGGTCTTTAATAATTAAAACTTTCTTCAAGCTCTCTTCTGTACTGAAAATGCTTATGATATTAAAGTCAAAAGGTTTTAAGCTATTTAAAATGCTGATCAAATCACTTACAATGAATGCTGCTTCTTGATATTTAAACGTGTTTGCTTTATGCAGAATCAGCTGGTCCCCTGAGTACTGGCCCTGATATCCTGTTTTACGGTGGCTTCTTTCCTTTGCAGGTCCTATGGAGCCACCCTTGTGTGTGCTAGTAAGCTGTGTGTTTCTCCAAAAGCACACAGGCACAGCAAGGCAAGACACTCTCCTGCTTCTCCTACCTTCCTCACTGCTTCTCCAAGCTAGTAGATGAACAGCTGCTGAAGACTGCTCTGCCCCTTGTGATCTTGTACTGGAGAAGAAATTCAGGGAAGCCACGCTGAGAGAGTTGGGGCCAGTTATTAGGAAACATGATGACTGTAATTGCTTGGACATAAATTTAAATAAACACTTTGATGGGCAATGTATATTTGTTTGATCTGGATTTGTTATTGAACAAAGTTTGAACATTTATTACTACTTTACTCTGATTTCGCTGTACACTGTGAGCTTCTGACTGTGTGCATTAGAAGCTGCAGCAAGGCTGATAGTGCGCACCTAATTTCCTGGCTGGAGGATGTCCAGCACTATCAAGCACTTTCCTCCCCAGCCTTACTGTTCCTGGCCCTCCCTTTTTATTCATTGGATATCAGTTCTTTAAATAACAGAGGCTCAGCATCACACGTGAGCGTTACCTAGGGCAGTCTGCATCTAAAAACAGTCTGCCTAGGAATGCCAAATTCTCTGGACTGATTTTTGCCTATGGTAGTGTTTTGCTAGTTGCATATCTCCTATTTGCATAGAAGCAGACCTCTGCTTGCATTAGGGCTAAGGGCTCTGGAGAGCTGTTAGAGAGCTGTGACATGAGAGAGGTAGCAATAAAAAGCTCACAACAGCCTCTATGCACTGGTGCTGTTAGATGGGATACTAGAAGGAATAGTATGTCACTTCTATTTGATAAAGTCTTAAAAGAGAACTAAGGCCCAGCCTTTTTTTGGCCATAGCTCTCTTTAAGGTCACAGGAAGACATATCCCAATGTCCTCCCGTGACCCAAAACTCAGGATATAGTGGGCTATTGCCCACTATATGCTGACAGCGCAGAGCCACGCTGCAGCCAGGATGGATCCCGACATAATTTTCGGGATCCACCCTGCCGCCTGATTGACAGCTGGCTCTGCCTCTCTAGAGGCAGAGCGAGTTGTGCCCGCCCCTTCCTCCCCCATATGTCCCTCCAGTCAGCATTGGAGAAATGGAGGGGGAAGGGGGTAATTCCTGCGGGGTGCGGTGACTGACAGTCACTGCTCTCTGCAGGGAGAAGATCAGTAACTGAGTGATCAGCGGTATGTGATCGCACAATTCTCGATCAATAGAGGCGACGTGACAGTTTCAATATCACACGTCAGCCATAATTATGGGGATGAGTGTATTTCACTCTACCCATTGTTCTCCTTTATTACCCAAACCATTTTTTAAACTCTAATAAGGGTCATCTAAATGGTCCCAGAAACAAAAATGAACAACAATATACAGAATAAAAACATATGTACCAGTTGCACACATGCTGTGATTATCACTATACAATAAAATAAAATAAGATAATGTATCATACCGCAGTTGAGTTCATGATACCCATCATAGGAAATAGCACAACTGGAAACAATGCAGTGACAGCAAGTGGGAGGGCCTCTGTGCACCAGAATAAAGCCATTAAAACAATCACATATCCACAGCTTGCTTCCTGTGAAGACACATAAAAGAATAATACTTTCAATAAACAGCAATTTCTATAGCATAATTCTTTATTAGACCATCAAAATCTAGAAAATGTTAATGGGAATGTGTGAGGTTTATTCCTCAGCATATGGAGCCCAAATGACTGGTAGATTTACCATGCTTGAATGCAGATGTGCTCTGCCTCTTGAAGGGGTTGCCCGCCCACCTCTTTGGCCTCAGGATGCAGAACCTGCTCACAAAATAATAGCTGCATGTAAACAACCTCTGCCTCTCCTTTTAGGGTTCCCAGGGGGATGGGCTACTTTTGTTAGCAGCTATGGCAGTAGATGGATGAGGGATGTGGTGCTTTGGTGCATTTAAAATCTGCTGATTAAACAGGCGTTCCTCGTCTGCTGTACGGGCTCTATGGTGAGCTCCCCTACCGTGGTCACGGGTCCCCCAGAGGAGCGGGGGACCCCTAAAACCACGGCGGGGGGGCCCCGGACACGATCGCCACCGCCGCTCGATTTGATACAAGTCTTCTGATTAGATCACTTGTATTAAACTAGCAGGGGCTCCCACTGTACATTTAGTTCTGCTTGAAAGGAGCAGGGCTGAATGTACAAAAAAACTACTCGCCCGGCGCCTGAAACTGCATGTCCCGGGCGTCGGGCGATAGGGATTCGCTCCATAAGTTGCACAGACATTTTTGCCCCCCTTTTGGGGGAAAAAAGTGCGTCTTATGGAGCGAAAAATACGGTAAATACATAAATAAATAAAGCTAGAACACTACACCCCAAACAGCAACCTTAACCTTACCGATTTAAAAATGAACCAAAAAATAGGTAAAAAAGAAAGAAACAGAAAAAAACCCAAAGAAGAGAAAACATTGGGAACAGCAGCTACACAGCAACATAAGTTGTTGCTGACACACTCAAACTAGTCCTAAAAATGACTTTTGGGTGTATTAAATGAAAATACAATAAGGTGTTACATGGTCATAACATAACGCAAATCAAAATAATGGAGAACTGATGCCACTGAATAGCCCACCACACTGATATCCCCGGAATGTAGCAGTGGCCCTATACTGCTCTGTACAGTACAGTAGCACTAATTGTCTCTCCCTGTAATCACTGTCAGCTGTCCCTCACACTAACTCCAACACACACTGACAAAAGGCTTAAGGGAGAGGTGACTTTTAGAATGAGGGGACTGGCACATTTTTAAACCCACATTACTGGCAACTATTCCACCTGACCACAGTTCACAGCGCAATGAAAAACATTATGGTGGATTTCTTTTAGCACTGGATAAACGAACCCATCAGTTCACCGTTCGGGTCGAACCCTGGATCAGCCCAACTTCAAACTCCATCCCTAGCTATAACACTGAATTTATAGCTGATTTGGAGGGACTGTCCCTCTTTTGGAATGAAATCGCTCTGTCCCCCTTTCCACTTTTTCATACCTAAATTGTTATGCTACATTACGAATTTCATCCAACTTCTAAATGATTGCATTTGCTTTTTAAAAAACCCAGTAAAAAGTAAAATCATTGGGGGGGGAAGCATGTGTGTTTAAGAAATCACTTTTAGGATAATAATTCTTTGGGGCTCTGTAATATGGGGGCATGGCAGGAGTCTGTCATTGCCTACATACCTTATACTTAAAGTTGTCCCTCTTTCGCATATTAGAAAGTTGGGAGGTATTCTAAATTAGCGCTCAAAACATCCTTTGACCAATTTATACAAAAAAACAGATGCTATACTGTTAATAAAGCATATATTTCACAATATGCAGGATTCCTTACCCCGATTGTATTTAACTAGAAGCCTTTGCTGACAATTGGACAACAATTGTAGAGGTTCAATTGCTTTTAAAAGGATTTGTTTGGAATGAACATTTCAGTAAATTGGGCTTGGTTGTAGACATATAATGGAGATATATGCACTTATACTCTTATTTCTAGCCAACCAAATTTTCAATATAGTATTAGTTTATACTAACTTGGTCATGAAAAAAATGATGTTGTACTTACTGTACCTAAATACTGTCAAAATGATATGTCATCAATAAAACCTTTGGTAAATGAAAATGTGTAAGCTCTTACATTAAATATCCTCTTAATCTTGCCCTTTAAAATTGTGGAATCTTTTTTCCCATTTGTGACTTTTCTTTCATTTGTTAAAGCCAAGCAAATTACTCTTATCGGACAGACGAAAGGGTACAATATGTTTAAATGGAGGAGGTTTCAAGGTCCAGAGAGTTTTATCCAGTCAAATCGTTTTTATGATAAGCCAAGGATCAATGTGAGTAAGCTATTATTTATTTATTTATTTGCTTAATTTAAGTATGACATGTGACATGTTGAAGGTACACGTGCAAAGGTACATAGGTTATAGTTTCCCAGAAATCCTCATCAAGGAAATTGGCAGGTAATTTGCAAGAAACCACATTTGCAAGAAATGCAAGTGTAACTCCAGCCATTTTTTTGGCAGAGTGGAGAAGATGTTTCTTTTTTTTTCTTTGTCCCATCCCATTAAGGAGATTTTCCCTCACTTTCTGGATGTGTGAGGATGGCAAAATGTTTTTTTTAAAAACAACCCTCTTCCACTCTACTGAAAATGTGTCTTTGTTCTTTGAGCTCTGCTAAAGAGATTTTACATTATTTCCTGGTTGGACAGGAAGAGAGATGGGGTCTCATCAATATGGCACGGATGGCAATAAAAACCCTTCCCTCCTCTATGCAAAACAAAAAAAAGTTTAAACAGGAATCAAGCCTTCAGCTATGGATGCTGCTCCATGTTTAAAGTTTTTGTTACCTGCAGAATCAGCTGGTCCCCTGAGCATTGGCCTGATATCCTGTTTTAGAGTCATTCTTTTTCCTTGCTTAGTCCTATGGCCCCCCCTCACTGTGTATGCTAGTAAGCTGTATATGTCTACACAAACACACAGGCACAGCAAGGCAAGACATTCCTTTGCTTCCTGCTCCCTCGTCTCCAGTCTTCCTTTTCCAAGCCAGTAGACAGGGCCGGACTGGCCATCAGGCATACCGGGTACTTTTTTTCTTTACAGCCAGGAGGACAGTTTAGGTGATTACAGTACAGTACTTGCTATTATATAACATTGAATAGAACACAGTTGAACTTGAAAGTTTCCTGTACACCCCCCACATATCACCTAGGGAACTACTGTAGGAGACATGCATCCTGGAACTTGTAGTTCCCTGGGTGATATGGAGGGGATGTGTATAAGGACAATGAGGGCATGCTGGGTCCTGTAGTTCCCACGGTGATATGTGGTATACAGGGATAATGAGGGCATGATGGGACCTGTAGTTGTACAGCCTCCGCATATCACCTAGGGAACTACAAGTCCCAGCATGCCCTCATTGTCCCTGTACACCCCCCCCTCCCCACACAGACATACACATACAACACAGGGAACTACAAGTCCCAGCATTCAGTGGCGTCAGTGGCGTAATCAGAGGTACAGGCGCTTGGGGCAGAGCAGGATCTATGGTGGGCTTTGCAGGCTGCAGAGCCCCTACGGTTCCTGTAAAAGCCCCCCACGGATCCTGCAGAGACCCCCTGAGACCCTGCAGTCTGCCGGATCTCAGTGGGGTTGTGCAGGATCTGTAGTGGGCTTTGCAGACTCTGTCTATTCAAATATATCCTGAAAAATTCAGTCCTTTTGGTACAATAATTTGATATATAACATTAGGGACATGACTTTATATCCCGTTCGCCACCCCCTCTCTGGCCAGACATCACTGGTTGCCAGGAGCTGAGCAGCACAGCCTCCCCTTCCCTCGGTTAGCGAGCACCGCCGGCTAACACATCCCCCCCCGGCAAAAACACTAAGGACAACCCTGATAGTGTGGTACTCTTTTTCAATTATTACTAATTCAAACAGAAAATAGTTTGGCTAGAGACTATATAATGTCTATGGGTACCCTTAGGGTTTGTCTTGTTAGTTTATGACCTATGGAGGGCTGCATGTGCCAAGAAAAGTAAGACGTGGGTGCTTTAGTCACCCTCACATGAATGAGCCCCACCATAGCTGTTGTATTGAGCCTATTGCAGAATTGGTGTAGCACATGCAGAATGCAAGTTTTGCTCCCTTGCTCTCTCTAAAAAGATGTGTTTTAGTTGTTTAGTTAACCTTACATGCCTCATTTATCACCTTAGAAGGTGTCGCATTGTTTGTTTCTGTTGGGCTATGCAAAATCATACTACAGTATGAGACAATTAATGCAAACAAACATAAAGCTATCTATAGTGAAGTTGGAAAAACACATGTGCTTTCAAAACAAGTCTAGAATGTGCATTATTAAACAGAAGTAGAACACTAAGCCTTGAGGTGAGAAGAAATGGGTGTATAAAAAATGCAAAATGCAAAGTCCACTAGGTTTATCTGTTACATAAATGCTTAGGATATGGGCCAACCTATTTATAAGCAGAAAAAAATAACTGAAGGTCATTAACAATCTTGCTATGTGGAAAAACACTTTATAGCCTCTTTATAACTGTTCGCATGAACAGATCCCGCAGATGTCACATGGCAATTGTTAACATTTGCACAGCAATTACAATCCAGGTACCTTATCTGACTCAGCAACTGTGCATAAGTGTGAGGCAATCTCCTCTGGTCATTTTATAATAGGTTCAAAGTAGGAATTTACCCCATGCTCATCAGCAAGTGCTCACTATTAAAATATTTTGGGATACAGATTGAATGTAACAGATTATAAAAGATGATACATTAGCATTTAGCACAGGGAGATAAGTCCCCTCTCATACCAACCATCCCGTTAACCTTAATTCTAACATTAATGCTCATTGGAACACTAACCCTATTACTTACAACGAAAGCTGGATACACACGGTTCTATTTTTTTTCATTCAATCCGTGATGGCCCCTTCGATCAGCTTATCGAGGGAAGCCGGGTGGATGGTTTCATTTAAAAAAAACAGCCAAAGTTTAGAGCATTTATACCCGGCTTAACCCCCCCCCAATGTAA